ATCTACCTGATGAACTTCACGAGTCAGAAAGTAGTAGCCAAAAAGAGCCAGAAAAATCAGTTTCCCAACTCCAGAATGGAGTTGCCATCTCTGGTTGATTTTCCTCACCACCATTTAGAAATAAAACAAAGTGAGCTCTCTCATCCTGCCAGATGCCACATCTTTATTAACTAGGATTATCTTGCCCTACATACTGAAGTGCCTGCATTTATAATTTTTTTAAAAATTACCTCATGTCATTTAGTCCAATAAACATTTTCTGAAAAAAATGTGTTTGATCTTCACGGTTATTCTTGGGCTACATGAATGTCAGCTTTAAGGAAGATTTATGGTTTAAACCACAGTTCAGTTCAGATAGTCTTCCAGATTTTTCATTTCCTCAATTGGCCATGCTGATGAGAATTGGAATTCATTGGAGTACCATCAGTGGGTTTGGGAAAACTTGTAACTCTACAGAAAACTTAATTTGTTTCATCTTGCATTTGTGCCAACAATTCTTTTGTATGTAGTATGTCTGGATATGGGATTATCCTCCCCTTTTCTAATCTGATTAGGACACAACAAAAATGATTTTCCTGAAATCATGGAGTTTAAGCAGAGAAAAGAACACCTACACCAAATTGCCATGCAGGTCCTAAATTCCTTATTAAAAATTAGCCTTGAAGTGCCAAATACAGGCAATCCTTGAGTTATGACCACAACTTAGACCAGAATTTCTAATGTTAAGCAAGGCAGCTGTTAAGGAATCATGCTTGATTTTACAACCTGTTTTGCCATTGTCATTAAGCGAATGCAGTAGTTAAATGATTCATGATTGTTAAGTGAATCTCTGGTTTCTCCAATAGACTTTGTCAGAAGCTGGCTGGGAAGGTTGCAAATAGCACTCACATGACCCTAGTACTCTGCAGCGCTGCAAACACCTAAATTTTGATCATTTGAACAAATGGGGGATGCTAGGGTGGTTGTGAGAGAACTGGTCATCACTTTCTTTCAGTGCCACTTAAGCTTGAATGGTCATTAAACGAGAGGTTGTAAGTTGAGGACTATCTGTACTGGACAGTTCATGATCAAAACAAGGCATGTTTTCTCTATATAAATCATTGCAGAGAAAGAAATCAAACGTCTGAAAGTTGGAGGAGGAGAGTGGTGTAGTGGTTAAAGTGCTAAATTAAACAAAGTTGGCAGACTCAGGTTCAAACCCACTGATGCTGGAGAACTCTGGATGTCCCTTAGTCTGAGCTATTCCACAGGGCGATAGTTGTAAGAATAAAAGTCATTTTTTGCTCATGAAAGAAGTGCTACCATTCCAATTCATACAGTCTCTCTTCAAATAGAACAAATCACATACAACCAGAATAATATTTTTATTGTTCCTTGGTTATATTTCACAATAGGCCATGGAACATACACACTGGCTGAAAACAAATGAGCCATATACCCAGGGATGTGTTCTACTTACCTTTACTACCGGTTTGCAGCAGGGCCGCCTGGGTGCACTTGCTTTGCTCATGTGCGCACACTCTTCTGCGCATGTGCAGAAGCATTTTGATGATGGCGGGGTCGGTGGGCGGAGCCTCCCGCCGGTTTTACTACCGGTTCTATATAACCGGTGCGAACTGGGGGCAACCAACCACTGCATATACCATATCATTGCCTGAAACTGGAAATTTACTATTATGCTTTCAAGTCATTGTTCTCCCGAAAGAAAAGCCCATCTAAGATAACAGCAAATATATTTTCTTCCAAATAAAAAGCTTTAAATGTGGGGAGAGGTTGCATTAGGAAATGCCTCTGAAAACGCTCATGTGAGAAAGTTAATACACTTTTAGAAACTACTCTAGTAATTGTACATTAAATTGATTTCTAATTCAAATATTGATTTTCTCCTAGGCCCACTCTATTTTGAAACATGGTTTCTGGGTGGGTTAGGGTGTGTGAATGAGTGTGAATGTGTATGAGAGGGAGAGGGAGCGAGAGAGAGAGAGATCCAAAATTGGTTGCAGCTAGTTGGCAACTTTAAATTGACAAAGTAGAGAAGCAAGGCATTGAGCAAGATTTTCACCTGTCCTGTACTCTTCCTTAAAAGGGGGGGGGGGGGGGGGCAGGGCACCATCTTAAATTAAATGCATCCTTCCTTGGAGGTAAATACAGTATTCCCATTTAGTTGCTGAAAGGAGAGGTCAGTAAAGAAATTGCAATGAAAATGGTAAGTGCATGATGATATAGTTTTACAAGTTTCTTGAAGAAAGTGTCCTAGCAGCAGAATACAGGCTCCTGTGTTTTTCTGAAACCAGGGCATCAAAGTAACAATCTTCTAAGAATATGCAAAATTCTTTGAAGCATGAAACATCCCAGTAACTATCTTTCTTCAGTTTGATAAAACCACATAGCTACTTCCACAGCCAGCCATGAGGAATTCTGGGAGTTGAAGTCCACAAGTTGTAAGGTTGCCAAAATTGGAGACCCCTGGTCTAGACCATGTCTTCAAATAGATGATGAGAAATCAATGGGGCAAAGTAGAGGAATCTCATCTGATTGGATAAGAAGAGTCCTCCACTCCTCCGCTCGCAACAGAATACCTTATGCCACCAGGCTTGAAATTTTGGGCTTAAGACAACCTAGAACTATGCCGCCTTTGGTCTGACCTAAGCATAGTACATAAAATTATCTGCTACAATGTCCTACCTGTCAATGACTACTTCAGCTTCAACCGCACAATACATGAATACACAATAGATGCAAACTTAAGGTAAACCACTCCAAACTTGATTGCAGAAAATACAACTTCAGCAACAGAGTGGTCAATACCTGGAATGCAGTACCTGACTTTGTGGTTTCATTCCAAACTCCCACAACTTTAACCTTAAGACTGTCTACTGTTGACCTCACCCAATTCCTAAGAGGTCTGTAAGCGGCATGCATAAGTGCACCAACGTGCCTACCATCCCTGTCCTACTGTCCCCATTTATTCATATCCATTTCATGTACTTATAAACATGTTTATACTTATATCTGTTATCTTATACATGCTTGACAAATAAAAGAAATAAAAGTACCAGCAATGCCAAGCTCTTCAGCCACCATCCTGTTTTAACCGTATTAAACGTACTCTACTGTAATTCAGTCTGCTAAAAACTAGGAATACACAACAGCTCTCTTAATTTTGAAGATTCACAACATGGCAAGGGTACCAACCCAGATTTAAAAAAGGAAATTACAAGCTAGAATTCAAAATGATATCAAATATTGTAATCATAAAGACTAACTATCCATGCATATAGTCATATCTAGGTTTGACATTAACATAACTGCAGTGAAGCAATTAATGGAGTTTGTTTCTATGAAATATTTTTGGATTGCAGCTTTGATCAAAAGTAACAATTCTTTTAACTTGCATCTATCATTCTAAATACAACACCATTAATTGAACAATTGTTCTGAAATTCTAGAAGGCATTTCTAGAATATTAGATACTAGATATTTCTAGTATCTAGAAATACTGCCAAAGCTATTTTTATTAATCCTCCTCTCTAAATTAAAATGTTATATATGTAGACAAGCTAGAAGCTCTGGAATTTTCACAGAAGTAAAAATACTCATTCAATTCCTTTTGCCTTCAGCTCTTCTCTAACACGTTTCAGGTAATTAGAATCAGGGTAACCAAAACTAGGAAGGAGACAAGAAAGAGATTTACTTAAAGAAGCACTAAACACATATATTTAATAATACTATCCAATGCTGAATTGAACTATTTTAAAAATGTACTTAGTTAGCAAATACAGTAACTAATTTAACAGTTTAAATTATACTTGAGAAAAAATGGGACTTGAGGACAGGCAATGCTTCATCAATTACATTGAACGATACGTCACAACTGAGTTCTCAACTATGCCAGCATGGAGTGAAACTGCAAGTAGGCTTCTCTGCCCCTTTGCAAAAGTATCACTTTCCAACTTATCGCAGCACAAGCTCAGCAGTGCAGTTTCTCTGTTGCATTTTGCTTCCATCTAAACAACATCTGGACTCTATGGAGCTGCCGACATCTCCTCTTCTGATCACCAGTTGCTGCCCTGTATAGCCGTTTTTAGAAGGCCAACATCCATCGAGACAAACATGCCTGTGTGAAGTTCGACCCACACTGGGTTTTGTGAGGCAGGTTTTGGGCATGATTAAGGTGGGTTCCTTCGCTATCCGATGAGCACATCTTTGAAAGGCCAGTACTCACATGTGCACCTGGTGTGTAAGGAAGAGTTGACCAGAGTTGAACCACTAAACTTCCCCTCATCCTTGTCTGGTTTATTACTGAAGCTTTTAAAAAATACCAGTCACCCAGTGAAACAATCAATTTAAAGAAATGTTCCACATAAATTACTTTGGCAGTGTTATTTTGCTTATTTTTCCACCTCTGGGCACTGGGATAGCTGGCTGGCAGGGCTTCCTCCCAATATTCATCAATTTGAGAGTTTTGAGAAATAGGTTAAAATTGACCTAATTTCTGCCAGTTTCTATTTCTAATCAAAGGGAGAAGAGGAACTGTATTGTTTTTAAAAACTGTAATCTCACACTATTCTCACTAGCACTGATGGTGTTACCTAATTAGGTAAGGCAACATCTGAAAGCAACCAACCAACCTCAGTGAACACCACAGATTCCAGAGGGAGAATTGTTAAGCCTTTCTTTAAATGCATCCATATACATGAAAAACCAGAAGACAACTTTGGATCAGTCCCACACAAGATTAAGGTCTTCTCTCCACCCAATGAAATGCTTGATGTGAGCAAGCAGGCTCTCCTGCTTGGAAAGATCAGGCAGGGGAGAGCCAAGTTCTAAACTTTCAAAATCAACCGACTTTCCTTTACATGAAAACCTCAACTCCTCAAAAGACCTGGTTATAGGAAGAAACCTGATTGATGCTTGCTTGCATGCCTTGGAGAGGAGGGGATAATATTGTTGATCCCGGGAATTGACCTTGTAACTGCTGTGGGGATAGATCATCCGGGTCCGCAATTGGTGCCAAATTGAACAATTTCTTCTGCTGCTTCCTTTCGGGATTGAGTGGAGAACAAACAAAACTCGGAAGAATTCAACCGAGCAGTTTCTGAACGAGGCATTAACCAGGAGGCAAAGAAAGGGAAAGGGGGAGGAGGATTGGAAGCAAGCACCGGAGAGAGAAATGCAAGATAAAACCCAGCAGTTTTCTTTTAATCGATACGCGTATTTTTTTTAAAGGGCTTTTTTTTTTTCTTCAAACCTCCCCAATGTCAAAGGCAGGGGAATTATCACAGGCTTGCAAAACCCGTTTCGGAAGAAAAGAAAGAGAAAAAGGGCGAGGACCGCGCTCGAACTGACTGGAAAGAAATACCATCCAGCGAACCGGGGGTGGGTGGGTAGGTAGAGGGAAGCCAAACACCCAGTTGCCGCCTTGTCACTTCCGTCTAGCACGAAGACCACGTGACGAATAAAGAAACTCTGGGAATCGAGTTTATCCTGGGAAACGAAAGTGAAAATGCTGCACGGTCAGCCAGGCTGCAAGGGTTTTGCCGCTATCCCGCAAGATGGCGGAGAGAGGGAGGGCGTGCTCCTTTCCTGTGCTGCTGCAGGGAGCCTGGGGGAGCCCCGATCCCCCCAAAATTGTGAGAAACAAAATTCTCCGCTACTTCCAAAGCCGGAAAAAGTCGGGAGGTGGAGAATGCGAGATCCAGAAGCAAGGGGGGCAGATCTTGGTTTGTTTTGCCCAGGAGGAAGGTAAGCGGCTTTTCTCTCTCTCTCTCTCCCGTCTCTTTTCTTTTATGTACACTGAGCTATGTACCAAGACAAATTCCTTATGTGCCCAATCGCACTTGGCCAATAAAAAAATAAATTCTACTCTACTCTCTCTCTCGATGCGATTCCTTGGGAATTTTCAACTCCCCCCTCCCCTCCGCCCCGCCCCCCCCCAAATTTCTGGTTTGGTGTAGGAGGGATGGTTTTAAAGACGCCCCAGGAAGAGGAAACTAGTTTTCAGAATCACAGTGCCCGTTTTGCTGAGTTAAACACTATTTTTCTGACTACTGTAGAAAGCCAGTAGCCATCCACCCTCCTAGAGAATGTAATATTTTGGGGAATATTAAAAAAGGCTGGATAGTGTTGGAAGAAACATCCTTCTGGGTTCTGCTCCAAGTGGGGAAACAGCACTGGAAACATGGAGACTGCTTGGAAAGATGGTTTAATGGTGGACAGGATCACATGGCTTGAGTTCCTGAACAGAAAAGGGGCAGATACAGTAAATCCTCGGGTTTTTATGCTCTCTCTGGCTCTGCATTTCTTGGGGCCCCGAAAGAGTATCCTGATTGGTTGTCAGACTCCCAGGGGGTGGGGGTCTTGCTGGCTGATGCAATCTTCCCAGGTGCCATGTGGTGAGCCTCGTCTAGATGGGTCCCATTGTGTTAGTTTCTGTTGCTATTGTGTAGAGGGCTAATCCTATCTTTCGCAATTCCTACTATGGCTCTGCCTGAAGGAGGTAGATCTTTGTTATGTAGAATAGACTGGCCCAAGCCTTAATGGCCCATTGACAAAGGGTGGGGGGCAGGAAGGTGGGAGCTGCTTTGTCTGTAAAATATGCTTCTCATATTTCTGCCTTTTTCATATTTTCTAAAATATTTCACTCTTCCAGGAGAGGGGTGGGTGCTAACTTCCTACAATCCCTACTCTTTTTTTTTTCAAAACGTGAGTTTTGAAACAAGTTCTTGGCAAAAGATTAAAATTGATCACATCAGGGAGGCTTAATGGGTGCTTTTAATTTTCTAATGCAAAGGGGAGGCATTGATAGAGGCAACAGAAAAGGATTCCTTCAGTGGCTTCCAAAAGCTTTCAACCATGAAGGTCTAGCAGCCAGGAAAAAATTTCTGGTAAGAATTTTACAGTATCCAATTTTCCATGCCAATTAATTTCAGATTTCAGATATTACTTTCTGTGAGCTTCCAGTCAGGTTTCAAGCAAACACATGTCCCAAAATTTTTCACAGCCATGATTTTCCTTTAAATTGCAGGCTGCCCATTTCCAAGGGTTGGTTACTGAACCTGCCCTAGCTCTTTATTGCATCCAGGATTTGTGAGTCCAAATTGAGGTTAGCCAGTGTACAATATCCATTCTTTTTTTTTTTTTTTTTTTTTGGTGTTACACATAATGAGCCCTGGGATTTCTACTCATGAGACCACCAGTGCAATATATCTTCCTTTACTGGGCAACTGGGCAGCATCATTTGAGTCACAGTCAGGGCTTGGGTTTTGGAGATCACTTTTCTGCTATCTCTTCAAGTGAGGGAATTGCCTGAGGGGTATTGCTTCCTCCCTTGGAATTAGCAGGGAGATATGACTTCTTGGGCTTTTAGTGCTACAGAGCAAAAATCAACCTAGGAGAAGCTTTGTGTGGAGGTAAGGGAAGGGAATAGTTGCAGTCTAATTCTGAATAATGTGTGTCTCTCTGTGTGTGCATGTGTATGCAGCTACTTTTACAATACAGGCAATACAAACATTTTGGACATATTTCTCCTCTCCACCAGACAGAAATCTAGAGTGTACATAACTTGCTGTGGCAATCACTCCCAAATACAATTTTTACAATAAACTGATTACAATATAAATGAGACAAGAAAGAAAACCTTACAATGAATTTCCACCCTCCCCCATAGTCTTTCCAGCTGTCTTCTGGGAATTGAAAAGAATCTTTTGGTCTTTACTTGTACATCTCAGGGTCTTTTCTTTCATGTCTGCTGGGTAGCATGCTTGGTGGTAAGGCTGGTCAGTCAGGTTTGGGAAGATCTGCTCCACTCTGGTTGATGTCCTGACTTTCAGTGGAGACTGGATTCAAACCCAATTCCTGGTTCAAACAGATGGAAAGTCTCCTCTGGAGGCAGCATCTGGATCCATATGCTCTGCTTCCACAGGTTGCAGAGTCCTTTGTGCAGGGCTGAAAGACATTAGAACAGGGTCCCCTCCCCCTTTTTGTGGGTAATCTTCCCAGGAAAGGCATTGTAACAGGATTACAGATTGGGGGGGGGTGTAGATAGCTTGCAGGCAGAGTTTGAAAAGAAACAACACAACAGTATTGCAGTTACTAAACAGATAATGCAGTTTCAACAAAATGGAGACACAACAGATAAGAAAAAACTGGATTCACATGCTTCAGGAAAGAGATGAACAGGTAAAACCCATTTAAACACATACAGTAAATGCAAGACTGATTTTTTTTCTTGTAAACAAACTTAAAACGTTTCCTCATAAACTTGAGTTGTTACTTTAAGATACAGAGAGAGGAGGAGAAAAAAAAAACAAAACCAGAAATGAAATGATATGCTCTCTTTAATCTGTGTTTGTTGGCCAGACAAACACAGGGCAAAGGCTCTTTCTTTCTTTTTTTTCTCTCTCTCATTTTTCATTGTTTCAACTTTTTTTTTCCCTAACAATTTAAAATTCTTGTCTCTAGAGATCAGATACATTTTACAGTTACAATTACCTCGAGGGTGCACAAAGACTTAGACACACACACATAAAAAGAAGAAGGACAAAGAGAAGAAAGCAGAACTCTGAGATTTCACACATACTGATCATTCCCACCATAAATCTCAGTTAAATTAGGGAAGGCACAAATCTTAAACATACCACGTGGTTGCATAGAAGACAGAGACAAACAAACAAACAAACAAACAAACAAACAAAAACCCAACATTCCTATTTATATATCTCCCTTTTCTTTTAAGTACCTTTATTTAGCCAAATTTGTCTCCCGGTGTTATCTCTTAACAAAGCCCACTTTTGACACAATTTTCCGCTCGTTTCCGATCCATGCCATTTAAAATGGGCATCCGCCTGGCGTCCCAGGCCTCGAGCACTTCTTCCAATCGGGGTTCCTGCCACCCGCGAACTACCGCTACCCATGACCCTGTCTTTTCACCTGAAGGATCACTTCGACTTAGCCGGGTGGCACGCTCTCAGTTTTCAGAGGAAAAAGCTCTGGGAAGGACTTCGATTCCCTTGCGAAGTATGGGCCCCTTCCTCTAGGGAATCACCACAACTTTTCGGATCCAAAAAGGGGATCCGCGAGGACCTGCTGACCCCTGCAGCCAGGTGTGGGCACCTCCTCTTACACACACACACGCTCGCCCCATGTCTGGGCTGGACAAAACCGGGTTTCCCTTTCACAATTTATTAAACCCCCCCCCTTCACACGCTTGGCTTTCGTTCGGCTTCCATTCCTTTTAAACACAAAGTTCCACGTTTGGCAACCCCCCTTGCTTTCTCTATCCTACCGGTCATGGCTCGGTGGAGCTAGCAGTAGGCAGAGGTGCGGCTAGAGGTCACTCAAAGAGGTGAAATCAGACTGTTTTCCAGGTGGAATCCCACATACACACTTCCTCCTTCCCTAACAGAAGGTCCTGTGCTCTGGCAAAACCCCCATGCTCTCCAGACTATTAGTCTTTCTGCGGCTAGGAAATGCACAGAGGAAGCAAGATCCAGCTGTACTTGGGAGAAGGGCCTTCACTCACACACATGCAGGCATACACACATTTCCCATACTTTTTTCCCATGCTTTAAATTAAAATTTAGAGGTACTCACCTTCTTTCCAAGCAGCCTTTGAGCTCAAACTCAAAACCCCTTTAAAACCTAGTTCCAAATGGCCAAGGTCCACGAAAACATACCCACAGACTCAATGGGTCTGCTGCTAGCAAGGGAGGCTTACCTGGGCCTGGTCCATTGGTTAGGTTAGCTTGGAGTCCCGCTGGGTCGCCAATTGTTGGAAGAAACATCCTTCTGGGTTCTGCTCCAAGTGGGGAAACAGACACTGGAAACATGGAGACTGCTTGGAAAGATGGTTTAATGGTGGACAGGATCACATGGCTTGAGTTCCTGAACAGAAAAGGGGCAGATACAGTAAATCCTCGGGTTTTTATGCTCTCTCTGGCTCTGCATTTCTTGGGGCCCCGAAAGAGTATCCTGATTGGTTGTCAGACTCCCAGGGGGTGGGGGTCTTGCTGGCTGATGCAATCTTCCCAGGTGCCATGTGGTGAGCCTCGTCTAGATGGGTCCCATTGTGTTAGTTTCTGTTGCTATTGTGTAGAGGGCTAATCCTATCTTTCGCAATTCCTACTATGGCTCTGCCTGAAGGAGGTAGATCTTTGTTATGTAGAATAGACTGGCCCAAGCCTTAATGGCCCATTGACAAAGGGTGGGGGGCAGGAAGGTGGGAGCTGCTTTGTCTGTAAAATATGCTTCTCATATTTCTGCCTTTTTCATATTTTCTAAAAATATTTCACTCTTCCAGGAGAGGGGTGGGTGCTAACTTCCTACAATAGAATATTTCGCCTAAAGGAGAAAATGGGGAAAAATTGTTTTAAGGGAGGCAGAAATCAGCCCCGGTTTCCCTGCCCCAAGCGGAAACTGAGGAGGCCAGTTTTTAGAAATGCAGATTTGGTAATCCATTCAGAAAGACTGGATCAAGACAGAAATTCAGATAAGCAACAAACAAAAGGTTGACAAAGTTAGCTCAGATAAATACCTAGGATTTGCATTTCCCCTTTTGCCTGTAGAGCCAGCCATGACCACATAGAAATCAAAAAGGTATAAAAACCCACCCCACTCTCAATTCCATTTGGTCAGCTGTCCCAGAACTGCACAAGCTGTGTGTATGTTGGATCTGTTCCAGGGGTGAAATGCTCCCGGTTCGGACTGGATCGTCCGATCCGGTAGCGATGGCAGCAGATGGTTCGGAGAACCAGTAGCAAAAATCCCTGTGCTGCTGCCCCCCCCCCCATGCTCAGCTGAGCCACACGATCATCAGAGGCTGTTTTTTTTAAATTTTATAAGCATTTTTTCTACAACCTCTTCAGCTGAAGAGGTTGTAGAAAAAATGCTTTTAAAAGTAAAAAAAAAGTTGGCCACGCCCACCCAGTCACATTACCCCCACCACCACCACCACGCCCAAAGAACCGGTAGTAACAAATTTTACATTGCACCACTGATCTGTTCACCAATAAACAGAATATTTTTTCCAATCAGCCTCCATTTTATTCCCTAGACCTGGATTTTTCATCCAACGCTACCTAGGGGACAGATGGGTTCTACTTACCTTTACTACTGGTTCGCAACGGGAGCGCACGCATGCTTCTGCACATGCACAGAAACTTCTGAGCATGCGCAAATCACCAAATACGATGTCAGGGTGGGTGGGCGGAGCCTCCCGCCACTTTTACTACCCGTTCTCAAGAACCTGACAGAACTGGGAGCAACTCACCACTGCTAGGGGATTGTTGGAAAAGTTGTAAGAGAAATTAAGTTTTTGGTGGAAAAAAGTCACTTATTTCCCCTCCTCTCGGTCTTTTCTACCCCCTCTGCCCCTTCCACTTCTTCAATCTTTCCAAAGCAGTTTAAAAACTTGTATCTTCAGACCGGCAAATTTGGAATGCTGATGATAGAGCTGTAAAGATTATTACTTTTTGGCATTGTACGAATAGTTTTTAAATCCAAATTTATAAGTACCATCCTCATCAAGTCTAATATTTAATTGGTCATTTAAGATTTGGAAAATTGTTTTAAAAAATTAAACAAAATGCTAACCTTAAATTAAAAATGCACCTCTTAATTTGTACTGATGTAGGAAAATTAGGGAGAGCAAGTACTGCTGAACTAACTTATGTTAAGCATGATGGCACAAAGGTTGCATTTGCTGCCTCTTTGTTTTTGTAGTAGAAATATTCTAAAGATTCCCGTAATGTATTTATTTTTTTGACACAGTGAGGCAAAGAGTTCTCTCCCAAAAGATCCATGAGCTTGACTTGGCAGAAAAAGGAACACTAAAACTGGAGGTTTCCCTGTATGAAACAACAGACCCCGCTAAAGATAATGCACCTAAGAAGGAAATAATTTCTGAAAAGGTAACATTCACCTCATAAATTTCATACCTTTAAAGAGAGATCAACTGAAGTTCCAGGCAGTATATTTGCATCCTAATGTTCTCCGCTTTTTATTTTTAGGCCCTGAGAGAAGAAAGCCAAGCAAGAGAGATGGGTAAATCCAACTTTTAAACATTGAGACAATTTTACTTTGGCACCAAGGAGAATTTTGGAGATGGAAGCAGTTGCTGATGACAGCAGGTTCTTCATTTTTAACAGGCCAAGGAGCAGATGATCCACCAGGGCAGATGTTTTACAATGATCTAGATGTTGAAAAGTATAGAAAACAGCAAATCAGAAATTCAAATTCTTCCGAGTTTCGTTGTTTGGAGCTTGTTGGCATAAAGAAGAAATCAAGAAAAGTGGGGCAGGGTTGAAGATTCATAATACCAGTATGCAGTATACATAAAGTGACTACAGAGAGAAATGGTCCTTTCAGAATATTAGTATATAGATAGTCCTTGACTTACAACCACAATTGAGGTCAACATTTCTGTTGCTAAGTGAGACATTTGTTAAGTGAGTTTTGTCCCATTTTGCAAACTTTCTTGCCATTGTTGTGAAGTGACTTACTGCAGTTTTTTTTTTAAATTTATTTATATGCCACCCTTCTCCGAAGACTCAGGGTGGCTTACAAGGCGTTAAGCAATAGTCTCCATATTTTTGTATATTTTATACAAAGTCAGCTTATTGCCCCCACAAACCGGGTCCTCATTTTATCTACCTTAGAAAGGATGGAAGGCTGAGTCAACCTTGAGCCTGGTGAGAATTGAACTCGCAGTAATTGCAGGCAGCTGGAAGCTAAATACTACCTTTTAACAGTAGCATTAGTCTGTTGCGCCACTCAGTCTCTTTTTGTCCAGTTAGTAACACAGTTGTTCAGTGAACCTGGATTCCTCATTGACTTTGTCAGAAGGTCGCAAAAGGTGATCACATGACCCTGGGACACTGCAACTGTCAAAAATACAAGCCAGTTGCCAAGCATTTGAATTTTGATTACGTGACCATGGGGATGCCGCAATGGTCATAAGTATGGGAAATAGTAATGTCACTTTTTTCAGTGCCGTTGTAACTTTGAATGGTCACTAAATGAACTGTTGTAAGTCGAGGACTACCTATATATAATTTCCCAATAATAGTGAAAGATGTAAGAGAAAAGGAAGGTCCTTTCCCAAACAATGCATAGCCAACCTATAGAATTTTTCTACTTCAAAATGTGTGTTTACAGCCACTGGCTTGGGTTGCTTTAAAGGAGATTCAACAAATTCAGCATTTACTTTGATGGATCACTGTGGATTGCTATAGATATAGCTTTTTAGTTGCAAGTAAGTATGGGTAGAATTGAGTTAATGTCTCCTACATGAATACTGTATCTGAATTATCTTAAAGAGAAACTAGCAGAATGATAATTAAGCTGGGATGTTTGAAAAAGAATACCCTGGCATTTTAAAATAAAAAATAAATGTAACTTCAGTAAAATGAATACAATTTTAAAGTAGTGTAGTGATATTTTTTTTATACTGCCTTTTTTGATATAATTCAGGACAGCAAATATACTAAATTTTCCTGCCCTCTATTTTTTTCCCCAGAACAGCAATCCTGAGTGGTGGGCTGGGCTGAGAAAGAGAGACTGACCTAAAATCACCCAGTCAGCTTTCATGCCTAAGGGAGAGCAAGAACTCACAGTCTTTATTGGTTTCTGGGCCAGCCACTTAGCCGCTATACTAAAGTGGCTATATTTAAGTAACTTAAAAATATAAACCAACCCTGTGCAGCTGACTCTTCTTTTTATTTGTTCCTTTTGAAATTAGAAGTGCAACAAGACTGCCAAACAAATAATGTTATCCTAACAAGTGGGCCAGCTGGGGAAGCTCCACATGCTGACAAGAATATTCTTGACTATCCTCAAAAATCTTCACAAGTAGTTCTTGAAAATGTTGAAGAAAATATTCACTTGGACACATTAATGCTACTGGTAGATAACATCAGTGATCTTTCGGGAGATAGTACCTTCCAAATTGAACAGATAAATGAGAAGAAGGCTGCAGTAATAACCTTTCAGCAAAGCACTGGTAAGATCTCTAAGCTCATTGTTCAGATATTTAATATTTGGAGAATCCTATGGTGTATAATACGCTTTCCTGCTCAAGTGTGTTTCTGATATATTGGACTGCAGTCCCTGTCACCCATAGTCACTTGGGGGGTCACAAGAGTTTGAACCCCACAAATCAGGATTCGGATTCCTATATTGAAATGGCTGAAATAAAGTGTGGGATTTGGTTGATAGTCAGATTCACTTAACAACCATGTTACCAATAACTGCCGTAATTCTCTTAACAACTGTGGCAAGAAAGATTGTAACATGGAGCAAAATTCACTTCACAATTGTCTCATTTAGCAACAGAGATTTTGGGCTCAATTGTGTTTGTAAGTTGAGGACTACCTGTAATTGAATCTTTAAAAACTGTCTGTGTTCACATATGTGCACAGAAATGGGAAGCACATATTTAAGAGCTTGATTTCTAATTTTAGCAGCTGCAAATTTTCTCAAGCAATGTTCCAAGAATCACAGATTCCAGCAATACAGATTTAGAGCCAGACTTCTTGAATTGACTCATGTAATCAAAGTGGAGAACATCCCAGCTGCAACATCCAGCGAATTCCTAACTCTCTACTTTGAAAGTCCAAAACACGGAGGAGGACAGGTGACTGATATTCAGATGTTACCCACAGAAGATTCAGCTCTGGTTACATTTGGTGACTCTCAAGGTAATTGTTCTATTTTTACACAAAAAGAATTTGCTACTGCTTGGCTTGAAATAAAAAACTGATGTGGGAAGTTTGGGCACATAACAGCATTGGTGTGTACATAACAATAGAATTTTAAATGGCAGAATTAACAGAGAAGACACAGCAGCAGCAGCAGCCCAAAACTGATTATTACACCACAGGACAAAGATTGGAGCTTATGAGACAGGCGATGTGCATTTTGTTGGCCTCTGCTTTACTCCACGAATGTGGTTTGCAGAGTAAAGAACTGGGCTTGAATTATGGAACATTGACTGCAGAAATGAAGTTGAAAGTTGTTTGCTGAAAGATATAAGAGTTTTATGTGAAAGTAGTGAGTTTGAGTGATACATAATGGAAATAAGTATAAATATTAACAGATCCAGGTTAGTATCTTTGTGGAGCCCCATCATGTTTTATTGTGATGGTTATTTGTAAGTCTGGACTGTCAATTTTTGCTTTTAGTTTTTATCTTTTTAAATTCTGTGTATTTGGATTTTGTAAATTGCCCAGAGTAGCAACCGTAATACATTTAATTAATAATAAATGGTTCTGTTTTGATTAGAGAATAAATCAAACATGTATGATGTGAATGAAATATGAGGAATATTTGCAGCTTAATCCATCAAAGATATATTAAGTACAGTAGTTGTGTTTAATGGGAAAATGGACTGAATGATGCAAGCTATGCACAAATGGCTAAAAACTAGAACAAGCAGATGATTGTACATAAAGAGCAAATGCATGGAGATACGTTTTAAGATGTACAAATGCTGGTAAACAGATGTAGGTTATTATGAGAAATATGGTATATCAGCAATGAGGAAATGAATATGCTTGGATTTAACAAAAAATGTTGGTGAGGAATCCTTAATTGATTTTCCGAGCTGTGTTCCAGGAAATTCAAAAATTGTGTTTGTTTTGTAAATAGTGTACATGACTTGACTGTTCACTGCATGGAATCTGAATTGTATCTGCTTCTGTTGCAACTTCTGATACAAATTATATTTGTGTTTCTTTGTTTTTAGCTGCCCTAACAGCATTGAAAAAGCAGCACTCATTAAATGGCCAGTCAGTCCTGGTTTATCCATTCTACAGTTCATTGGAAACTGTTTTGTATGGAAAGGAGAAGCCACAAATCAAGATGCCAGAATCTATCAGTGTCCCTTTAGATCCTTATATATGGCAGTTCCTACAAGGAAAGTGTAAATTAATTCAAGAAATAGAGAAAGAAATGGCCAATTACTTCTGTGAACTATTATGGCCCCTGGCAACTTGTGAGCAACCAAAAGTCGTACTGTCTCCCTCAGCTACCTTAGCTAAACAGGGAACGTCCATAAAAGAATTGGTTAGGTCTTGGAAAGATAAAGTTTCTGTGGAATTTGCATGTATCCTATCAAAATTCAGGACAGTTAAATGCAAAATCATTCCAGAAAAATGGGAGACCATTGAAAACAATGTGCTAAAAAATGTGTTGGCTGTGCCAGATGACTCAAAAAATTGCGTTACTCTAGCTGGTTTTGTATTGACTGTGGATAGTGTGGAAAAAGAGTTGAGGGAATATATAGAACGTTTGACCAAGGATGCTGAAATAGCTGGGCAAACATTACAGCAAACGTTGTCAATTTCCCCAGTGAAGTATAAAGTTTTGCAGCAGATCTTGCTAGAAGAGAATATCTATGAAGAAATCACTGGGCAAAAATGGTGTTACGATGCTACAGCAAAGCAGTTGCAACTGAATGGAATAGCTACTGAGGTTTACAAAATGAAAAGTGACTTACTAGAGAAGATGGTCAGGATAGGGGAGAAAAATGTCAAGATTCATCCTTCTATTTTTCAATTCCTGCAATGTGTAGATTCTGACAAGGTGTCAGGGAGCCTGTTTAGGGCCAATAAAATTAATGCTGCCTATGAACTTACACATGATTCTATAGCATTGGTAGGATATTGTCCTGAAGGCCTCTTAAAAGCAGAGGAACAAATAAAGAAATGCTTGACTCATGAACGCATTATATTGAAGGACCAGGAACTCATCCACAGAAATCAGTGGAAAGAATTAATTAAGCATCTGCAGAAGCTAAACAATTCTGTTGAAAAAAGTGTAATAATTGAGGACTGGGTTGATTTCGATGGAGACACTGAAATTATTGTGGCTGGTTATGCAAACATTGTAGCAGATGTCTACCAGCAACTTTCCGATTTTGTTGAAAGAAACACCCACATGCACACAGTAATTCCTGTCAAGTCAGTGGCTATGGTGCAGTTTATAGAGGAAGAAAAACAGAAGATTTGGTGTGATTTAAGCAAGAAGGGCCTGAATATTAATTTTGGAATCCTGCCAAAACAGAAGAACATTGTCCTGAGTGGACCCAAAGTAGTAGTGACAGAGGCAGCAGTGATGGTGGAACAAATGCTGTCTTCGCTATACTCTGCGAATGTGGTGTTTGATAAACCTGGAGTGAAAGACTTTTTCAAAAACCAAGAACATTACTATGTTAACCTAGCAAAAATGGAATTCAGCTGTTTGATCAGATTGCAAAGAGATGATGAGAAAAACGGAGGTTTTGTGGAAAATGTAGAACACCTTCAAACCAAGGTAAACTTAAAAAATGGCGTGGTGATAGAGGTCTGTATGGGAGATCTGACCAATTATCAAGCTGATGTTATAGTCAATGCATCAAATGAAACACTGAAGCACATTGGTGGCCTTGCCTATGCTTTGCTAAAAGCGGCTGGCCCACAGTTACAAGATGAATGTGATGTTCTCATAAAGAAACATGGAGATCTGAAGCCTGGGTGCGCAGTAATCACAGGAGCTTGGAACTTGCCGTGTAAACAGGTGATTCATGCTGTTGGGCCAAGGTGGACCAGTGCCACGAAAGAAAACTGTATACAACTATTAAAGAAAGCTGTAAGGGAAAGCTTAAAACTGGCAGAAAAATCCAGTCATCGCTCCATAGCTATTCCTGCCATAAGCTCTGGGATTTTTGGATTCCCAATAAAAAAGTGCACTCATTCCATTTTAACAGCCATTAAGGAAACCTTAGAAGAATCTTCTGAGAATGGCAGCCTGAAACAGATTTGCCTGGTAGATACGACACCCCAAACAGTTCAGGCTTTTTCTGATGCTTTACACAAAGTGTTTAAAAGTGGACCACCTCAGCCCACACCACTGCCTTCTCCATCAGTCAATCAACTTTTGGAGAGTAAAGATCTTGTAGTGACTTCTGATGAAGGTCTAAAACTTATCGTAGAAGAAAAAGGAATCGAAGATGCTACGGTAAGCATTTATATTAGCAGAGAAACTTAAATTATTTTCAATGCCGCTAGAACATATTTTATTAGACCCATTTATTATTATGCTTCTAAAATGCTGTTCTTTCACATTGAAGGAGAACTCTAAAACAAAATTGGCATCTGATTCTGAACACCTCTTCTTCAACTCCCAGTTGGATTTGTTGGGTTAGATTAGAATTGGATGCACATCTTGGAGAAGACTGGAATAGTCTTTTAGTTTTGACTAATTTTAAAGGCTGTTGCCTTTGGAGAGAAAACTGAACTAGGGATGTGCTGCTTGAGTAATAGGAAATTCTACTTTTCATATCTAGGGAAAGGATATGGACTGAATTTTCATGCTGTATTTTGTGGATTTGGTTAATGGAAAAGGCATGCTTAAACCTTGATAAAGGAAGGAAGTACTAGTGATTTCTCTGCCGCTTGTCCAATCTCTTGAATTAATAATCAGAACCAATTCATTATGATATGAGTCACAGAGATGGGAGTTGCAAGGAATTAGCAACCCTTTCCCCATACTATTCCCATTCCCTGCTGGAATCTCCAGTAAATCAAAGATCATTTGTTTAGGGACTGTTTTCTCCCTGTATTACCTTAATAATAGCAATAATAGGTCAAAGAATACTCTGTAATATACATTCCTAGCTCCTAAGCAGTTAATCTTGTAATACATAAAATCATCTTGAAAGTAATTTTAATGTGGCTTTGATTCCAGACGGATGTTATCGTAAGCACTATTGGTGAAGATCTAAAGCTTGGCATAGGCCCACTTTCAAAAGCTGTGCTGCAGAAGGCTGGAGTTGAACTTCAAGATGAGTTCCATCAAATGATCCAAGATCAAGGAGCCCAAGGCAACTGTGTAATTCAAACCCAAGGGCATAACCTTCCCTGTGTTTTCTTGTTCCACGTCATAGTTCCACAGTGGGATGAAGGAAAAGGGAATGCAACCAAGGTACTGCTTCATTTTGTTGTAATTGTTTTGGAATGTAATGTTCACGAGTAAAAAAAAAAAGATTGTTTATCACCTTTGTTTATAATCTTCTGTCTCTACATGAGATTAACAATTCAGGTTAAAGAATAATGGGAACCAATACTTCCTTTTATGCTCCTTATATATACTTATATACTCAAGGCAGTTTCTTAGCTTTGCCAATACTTTCCTAGGCATTCTCACGATCTTCTACACGGTTTTGGTTTTAACATCGTTAAAACATCAGTTTGTACTAAAGTTACAAAGCGTGTATGCAAAATTGTCCATCTTATCCCTAAGTACTTTATATAGTTGAAGATAAGCTAAGAATTTTAGTCCCAGAGATGCTTTTTCAAGAAACAACTAGACTCTGAAGCTAAAAAATGAGAAGCGAAATCTCAAAAAAAAAACAAAGAAAGTCCAGTGTTGCCTCTTGAAAAAGGTGCTGAAATGCACCTAAAAATAAGTTTGGCTTATCTGCAGATGGGTTTATCTACAATGATATATCATAGTTTTTAAATTACCTGTATATACTTGTGAATTAAGCCCATCTGTATATGAACTGACGCTCAAATTTTTAACTCAAATACCATGACAAATTTGGAACAGCTTATCCATGAGTGGCATATTTTCCATCATACTTTTTTTTAAAAATTGAGGTTGGCTTATCCATTGATGGGTTGATATAATATACATTATGTCTTTTTATTTTTTAAAATGAGATGTTTCTTTGTAAGCCATTCTTCAATATCAGAGCTATAGTTTTGATGCAATTGAATATGGTGAGTTGATGTAGTTGAATGTAGCTCTCCATATTTTTCATATCCCTGTCTTTATGTGTGAATGAGGTTGATCTGTGCACACCTCTTGTCTATTCTGGCTCCTAAATTAAGTTTTGTGTTAATATTGGTTCTTTTAAAGCATAATTGTGAAATGTTGCTTTATATTTTACAGAAACTTAAAAATATCATGAGAAATTGTCTGGAGAGGGCCGAAATGTTGTCGTTAAAGTCTATCTCATTCCCAGCAATTGGGACTGGAGGTTTTAATTTTCCAAATTATGAGGTGGCTAAATGTATGTTTAAGGAAATACTTATGTTCAGTAGAAAGAAGAATTTCAAGTCCCTTCAGAAAGTTCATGTTCTCCTACACCCAAAAGATAAAGAGAATATAAAGGTAATGTTACTTTTCTTCCAAATAAGAAACTGCAGTTTGTTTTTAAGAAACTTCGAACTTTAATTTGCAAAAATAATTGTATGTTTCTACCTAATTATTACAAAAACAGCAGCAGCAAAGCTGGATTGTTGGATGGGCATCTACTTCCCCAGATACATTCAAAGGTGGTCCACGTACCTTTCAAAGCTACAATGTGATTTGCTTGATTTTGGCTAAATTTATTTGTTCGTTTTTATCCCACCTTTACTATTTTTACAAATAACTTAAGGCAAATAACCAACTTACCTTCCTTGTGCTATTTTACCCACAAAAACAACCCGGTGAGGTTGGTTGGGCTGAGAGAGAGTGACTGGTTCAAAATAACCAGGTTGGTTTTTCATGGCTAAAATGGTACTTGAACTCATGGTCTCCTAGTTTCTCGCCATTACGCCAAACTGGTTTTCTTACCTAACTTAATGTTTTGTTTTGTTGGGGTTTGCGACAGTATGTTCAAATGTGGTTTATCCCATTAACCATGTTTAAGCATTCTATGCAATAGTGCACATATGACTCTCATCATATTTGGCAGTATCTTCCATTCAATCATCTCTTCTCAAAGATGAACATCAGTGATGTCTTTCAGGACAATCAGATTAAGCAGTTTTATCCAGAGCCTCATGGTTTTGTGTATGTGTGTATGTGTAGCAATTTTGCCATAATGTTAGTAAATTTTAATAAAAACATAAGAGTTAACAGCTTATTGGATTCCCCCTATTTTGGCAGCTGTTATATTTTATTGAAGATGTTGGATTTTTTTAGTAGAAACCCTCATTGTATCCAGGGGCATCCAATGACACTGTCCCTCAGGACACGGAAATTTGCAAGTTCACTACCCTCAGTGCCATTATTGACATGTGCCATTATTGAAATTGTTCTGTGGTGTTATTGTTCTTTCTATGCATATTTTGGAAACATGTGGATAACTTTGCCCCCTAGGCATTTACAAAGGTTTTTCAATCTGGGATTGATGATATTCTCAAGACTGAGCCAGCAAGCAATGAAGAAATGGCAGGTAATGGGTGGGCTCAGTTGGGCAGACTTCTTTCTCTACCTTTTTCTTATGAGTTCCAGAAATATATTGGGTCCAACTGGGATGTAACATGAGAGATATGTGGACAGGCCTTCCTTTAAATAATATCAGTAATGACTACTAGAAGAATGGAAGGAGTACATTTACAGAAGATGTTTTATACCGGGGGTTCCCAACTCCCGTCCCATGGCCCACTACTGGGCCTTGGGCTGCTTGGAACTGGGCCGTGGAAGCGTGTGAGCGTGTGCGCTCACCCGCCACTCACATGTAATCATACCCTCTCCCTCCCCCCTTTTACCCATCTGCAAAGCCGGAAAAGTTGGGGGAATCTCTGTTTTAGATTTTCTTTCAGAATGGCTATCACCACATATGTGAAGCCATAGCATCATATGTTTGGTTTTTGTAGTTAATGCAGTGTATAAATACAGCTACAAATACAGTTTGTGAATTGTAGCTTAGTATGATTTATTTATTTGTTTGTATCCTGCCTTTATTATGTTTACAAATAATTAAAGAAAGTGAATTCCTCCTCTTTTCCCAACAACAACACAACTCTGTGAGGTGAGTTGGATTAGAGAGAGTGACTGGCCCAAAATCACCCAGCTGGCTTTCATGCCTAAGGTGGAACTTGAACTCACACTCTCCCACTTTGTAGTCCGGTGCCTTAACCACTAGACCAAATTTACGATGCACAAACTAGAGTAGAATGACTTGTTCAGCAAATCCTTGATGATTATGTTTATTTGAGTTATTTCAGCATATGAATGAGCCACATTTTTTTTCCTCTTGGAAATGTCCTGTTCCTCACTGGGCAAAGAACTGTTCCAGTGTGGCCTATGCAGTTTCAGTGGCCCTTTTGGGAGCATCTCTATTAAAATTTGGGGGACATTTGCTAGATCTTGATCATAAATCTTCTAATTTCACCCTTTGGTGGCCATGGAAAAATCAGCAGAGTTCAGTAGCATCTTAAGATGTTCAAGTTACCACTTTTAAGAGTAGCATTTCCCAGATATGCAGACCTTATTTCCCTTGGATACTGAAAAAAAATGAATTTTTTAAACTAGATCTTGAAATATTGAAAATTCTTTTTACAAAGAATAGGAGGATAGTGCTCAGCCCATGGATATCAGTGCTATAACTCAATCATAATGTTTCTTTTCTCAATCACAGGTTCCTTTGGATCCCTTTCTACCTCAGCTGTAGGAAGTAATGAAATGCAGTTTGGATCCATTACCTTCCAGTCAGTGACAGGAAATATTGTCATGGAAAACACAGATGTTATTGTGAATGTGACCAATGAAAACTTTTCATCCAAAGCAGGTACTGAATTTCAAATGAACATCTTCTGAACATCCTAATAAGCTAAGTGCTCATTCTTGGTGAGACAAAAAGCTATTTGGATATGGAAAAGTCTGTTTGCACGTGTGTGAATGAATGAGAGGGTAAAATAAAGATTCGTTGAAATAACTGAGGAATTTAAACTATTTCTTTGTAACCAGACATAGTATTTCAGAGTATTGTGGCTCGATTCTGTTGGATATATTAATGCAGTATCTAACTCAATCCCCACCTCACAAATCCTTAGGAATTTTCTTATTATGAAATGTTTACAAGCAAGCAAGGGTTATGTTTTAAGTTCATTATTTACATTCCTACATATTCCCCCCCTCCCTTTTTTTTTTCATTTCTTTACAGGTGTCTCCAAAGAAATTTTGGAAGCTGCTGGACCTGAAATTGAAGCAGAATGTGCAAGACTTGGTAAGGTGCAACAAGAGGTCCCATTTGGTTAGGTAATGGAGGATTTGCCGAATATAGTTTGCATGGTATTTTTTACATCATTTAATCATAGTTCTGAATACATTTGTCAGTACTATTCTGTAAATTGGCTATTGTTGTAGTAGAGTGTTGTTGAGTCAAGAAAGACAGGATATAATCAAGCTGTGGATAATTATTTCTAAATCTAACTAGCTTAGGAAAGGTGGCAGATAACATACTAGCTAGAAGGTTACTACTACTGTCAGTAAATTTAGAGACAGCTGAGGAACACTCAAGAAATACTGCTACACTGCAAACTTATCTCTTTTAAGGGTTGCAGCTTTATCTCAAACAGGCTAAGCGTCAACCCCAAAGTCTAGTTTTGTAACAATAGCTCTTGTTGGGATTTAATTTCAGCTCTTTCTTTCCCATCAGCCCATTATTGGACATAGGTAAAGTTTAAGAGGATCCTATGGTTCCTTGGAATTAGATGACAAGAAAGAGATGTTGGTGTTAGAATAAGCATTCTGATGGCACCATCTTCAAAATGCCAGATACCTTCCCCCAGCTTCTGAGGGTAACTTCCCACCCGAATGCCAGAATATTTATGAAGATGAAGGAGCAGATTTTGGATAAGAAACTGCTTATCTAGCTGGCACTTCTGATGTATCACAGTTTTTGACCATCAGTGAGAAAAAGAGAGGAAAACAAAAAGAGTTTTCCTTATTTTCTCTGCATTTGTCAAAGAACTTGTGAGAGGGCTATATGTCTACAAGTTGACTTTTTAAAAAAGACCCAATTTTTCTGACAATGTGCCAAATATGTCTTCGCAGTAGGGAGCAAAGGGCGAGCAGTTGTCAGTCAGAGTTTATAGTTGGTGCTTTTCCCTTAAGAAATGTATTTATAGATACTCCAATGACTGTAGTACATTGTATGCCAAAGACAGTTCATGGAGAAGTTATCATTTTCATTTTTCCAGCCTCACAGCCTCACAATGGATTTGTAACCACACAGAATGGCAAACTACCCTGTAAAAAAATTATCCACCTGGCTCCTTGCTCCAGCATCAAAACTCAGGTCTCCAAAGTGCTTCAAGAATGTGAAGCAAAACGGTATGCCTCTGTAGCCTTCCCTGTAATTGGAACAGGTTTGTATTTTTTCCTCAGATAATCATTTGTGCTTTTTTAGAATAAAGTTTTTACTAACGAGAAACATACCGTATTTTTCGGAGTATAAGATGCACCTTTTTCCCCCCTAAAAGGGGGTGAAGATTTAGGTGTGTCTTATACACCGAATGTAGCCCCGCCCACCCACTTGCCCCCACCCTTTGGCCTCCAGCATTTACCTCCTTGCAGCAAAAAGCAAGAAAAAACAGCTCCTTTCAGCTTCAGCACAGCCTAATTAGCACAAGTTGATTGGATCGGCCTCCTGACTTTCAGCTGTTATGCTCTCAGCTGTCTTGCGCAGGCCTCTGCTGCTTGCGGCAAGGAAGAGCCTGGTTTAACTCTGCAGACTAAAGCACCGTAATTAACATCCAGCAATTACAGTCTGCAATTACACCAGTTCGAATCTCCCCAGGCTCAAGATTGACTCAGCCTTCCATCCTTTCTAAGGTAGGTAAATTGAGGACCCAGTTTGTGGGGGCAATAAGCTGATTTTGTATAAATATACAAAAGTATGAAGGCTATTGCTTAACACATTGTAAGCCGCCCTGAGTCTTCAGAGAAGGGCGGCATATAAATCAAATTAAAAAAAAAAAAAGAAAGGGAAAAAAAAGAAAATTGCTGGAGCAGATTTTTTTCCCCCTTGTGCTAATCAAGCTATGATGAAAATGAAAATGAAAGTAAAGCAGGCTGCTGTTTGCTGCAAAGAGGCAAAATTGCTCAGAGGCAGAGGGAGATTTCTTTTTCTTCTTTTCCTCACCAAAAATGGTAGGTGCGTCTTGTAGCCTGGTACGTCTTATACTCCGAAAAATACGGTATGTCCTGAATCCTAGTCATAATTTCCTAAATTAGCTCATTGTTAGAAAATGTGAGCTGTTGCAATGGATTTGCCATGCTAAGCTATACGGACAAGTTCCAGTGTTCTGCTATGTGTGAACATGACAAAGGAGATGAAATTCCCCTGCATTCCATTCTCAAAACGAAGTAGGATCCATCTCTGACCTTCTGTTTCTTAATTTCTCCTTCGTGACTTCTGTTCATTTGCAGGCAGCAGCCTCTGGTGTGTTTAGGACTTCGATCAAAGTCTCTTAGGGAAAACAGAGCTGTAGGCTATACTTAGAAGTTGAAATAACAGGGGTCAGCAACCTTAAACACTCAAAGAGCCACAAAGATCCTAATCAGAAGCCCCCCTTCAATTCTGGAGCCCACTGGAAGTCCAGTTCCCCCATCATAGTCTCCTCCTAGCGCAGCATCCTTTTTCCTCTGCTGACTGGAAGTTGGTTCCCTCACCACAGAGTCTCCTCATAGCGCAGGGTCCTTTTTCCTCTACCTGTCCTAACTGAAAGCCCTATCAATTGTGGAGCCAACCAGCAACGGAACTGCAGCAGAGGGATGAAAGAGCCACATGCGGCTCCAGAGCCACGGGTTGCTGATCCCTGTCCTAGAAGAAAGCAATGGCAAACACTTCACGTATTGCTCTTAAGAGAACTTCATGAAGGTATCCATGAAGTCCTTGGGAGTTCAGGCTTGACTTGGAAGAGATTTGACTTGACTTTGCTGTTGCCTTCATCCTGCTTTCAGGCTTTTATCTTAAATCTAGAGTTAGTAACCAGGGATCTATTACTCCTTTTCTTGCGATCTTCTGAACCCATATCCAGCACATCATAGGCAAACCGAGGGGGCCAGAGGAGAAAATGATGATACATCATGATACAAAGGGGTGACTTGCGTTAGATATGTTGTAGCATCATGAAATGTTTTGTCAACATTTCATGTCATTACAGATTGATCTGGATTGTGCTACATAATGCAGCCTTATTTGAGAAGCTTAATTCTTGAAAATCAGGTTCATTCTTTACGTGAACAGCACAGTAATACAGCTGCACAAATCCTATACTGTAATTCACTTAACATATTTAAGAAACAATAGGGGACTAAAACTAGCATGGTAAACACGTGCCCAAGCAAAGAAGTCCTCGGAGAAGAAAAAAAGTCTCTCAGATTTTGCATGCAGAATTTGTAAAGGTGTCTGTTGAATTTGAAGATTTTGTTAGAATAACAAAAAAGTCTGTGCCAAGATGTTGCAATCTGATGTTCCCTGCTTGCATATCTTTGTGCAGTGTCACAGTGAACTTATAAAATGGGTGGATTGGGGATTGCAATCTAGATTTCAACATTTTCCCCAAGTAGACATTCATTGCCTCCACTTATTTTGAATCCAAACACTCTGCATGATTATATGTTGCATCGAGGTCCTTGGCTTCTCATCCTGAAAACTGAGGTTCTGACTACAAAAGATCTGCCCACTCCTGGAGATCTATGGAGGGGGGCTTTTTTTGAGGGTGACTGTACTGCCAGTAACTGATCTGATCCTTATCAACTTCTCCAAAAGTGAAGTGTTATAATAGACTGCTGGTTCTTTGGGCAAGCAAAGAATTAGATTCACAGTACATGCCTATTTTATAATGGAAGTAGGCAACATTCTGCTTGACTGATTGCTGATTTTAGAAATGCACATGATGATTTGTGGGAAGAGATGAGGGTAATGCTACAGTATATGGCAAATATTAGCAACTCATAAGTAAAGAACCAGTTGCCTTCCAGATGTAAGATTCTTCCATATCCTTGATTCAAGCTTGAATGACAACAGTTAGGGATGATGAGAATTGTAGTCTGATATCTGAAGGACCACAGGTTGTCCATCCTTGCTTTGAGTCCCTCATTATAATAAGTACTAACAGAAAGTATATTTTGTTGGGTTTTCTCTGTTGTATCTCATACAGGTCAGGGAAGAAGGAGTCCTGACAAAGCAGCTGAAGAAATTATCAATGCAGTCGCTGACTTTGCAGGAAAAGAGTTGCCTAGATACTTGAAACTTGTTAAAGTTGTTGTCTTTCAGCCACATATGCAAAAATCCTTTTCCTCCATTTTGGAAAATAAAAAAGGACAGGCATTGCCCACTTCTGAATCTCTGTTTTCGAAGTTTAAAGGTAAGTTTAAAGTGTGGGGTTCCTTTACTATGAATGTTCTTTTCCACTTTTTTCCTGTTGAGTATGCACTTACAGAATTTTCCTTTTGCTTATAGCGTTTCTAACTGGTGGGAAGTCACCTGCTAAAAAGAAAAGTTTTATAGCATTGGAGAAGAAGATTGAGACATCATCATTTGAGTTATGTGGCAAAAGCAGGCAAAAAGTGGAAGAGGCTGAAGCCTGGCTAAGGAAATTGGTTTTCAAGGAACAGACAGAAAATCGCATTGTCGATGACTTGATAGACATGTTTGCTGATGCTGAAATCAAGAGACTGAATGATCTCCAGAAAAGATTGCATATTGTCATTCATCTGAATAAAATGGAGTCTCCTCCTTTTATTTTGTTATCTGGTATCACCCGGGATGTCCTCACTGCTTTCACAGAAATTCAGAACCTCTTAAAAACACTTACAGCTGATCAGGAAAAGAAATCCAAGGCAGAACTTGCTCAAGTTTTGGTTGAGTGGCAGTATTGTGCAAATGGAAATGTCTTTGTAGCTTTTGATTCATTAAGTAACCTTGATTTAGAAGATGCTAAAATCAGCAAAAAGAAACACATTCAGGTCCAAATTCAGGGACAGAAGTACACAGCTGACTTGAACAAGATGTGTATTGTAAATAGTCAAGGAGAAAATATGAAAATTAATCGTGTTGGAAAGGATGAAGGTAATGTACATTTTACATAATTGGGGTTGGATTAGTGGATAGATTACAGTTTTGGTCACCTCTCAAAAATCTCTTCCGCAGGATTTAAAAAGTGCAAATGTGGTAGGGCAAGGGTACAAGACGGGTGAATGTGCGTGTATCACATGGATATTTTTTTTAAATTAAATCAAAGTTGAATGATTGGCATCAAAACATGACACTCAATTGATACAGGATGTGCAAGGCTTGTTCATGTGTAGAGCAAGTGTTCCATCTATTCATTTCCCAGCAAGAATTTTAAGCTGGTTCCCACTTTTTGGTAGAAACTGACAGTATAGGAATCCTTTTCCCAAAGTGAAGGAATAATGAATAAGTTGTTTACAATGCTTGCGACTTCCACTGGGTTTAGAAACATCTTTCTTGGCTCATATCAGGCCTCCATCTGAATTGAGGGTTTTTAACTTTTTTCTTTTTAAAAAATAAATAAATAAATTCAAAGATTGTTTGTCTTCCAGACGCTAGAATCATGTTTATTTCTGAGAAAGTATTTTATTGTAAGCATTTTAGGTATATTTGTAGTATTTAAAAATGGGGAGAGGAAGCAGTCGTTGAGAGCTTCTCTGAGTAGATGGCTGTTGAGTATGTCTTTTGAAACTGAACATGTCCACTAAGATTGCCAGTTTCTGAAAAAATAATCTGTTAATGTTTGCAAAAATATAAATTGTCTTAATTGATTGGTATTTTTTAAGTGAACAAAAAAAAATTCTTACCCTAGAAATTGTTCTTGAAACACGATGCCCAAGAAGTACTCTAAAAACATTTGCAATTTGTAAATTGCTCTACTGAGCAGAACAGAAACTAACAAGTAGAAAGAAAGGGAAGGTGGTCAGTTACTGGAGGAAAAGAGTCAAAAGAAATGTGGTTTTTGAGAGAACAAAATGAAAAGATGGAAAAAAGTTATCCTGTGCAGAGATGCCAAGCCACTGTGAAGATTTTAACAATAAATGAAATATTTAGCACAAGGGGAGATAATTGCGAATTCCATTGATTTCAAACTTATTCACAGTTCTATTTTCTGGCAGGTTATGTCACTGCTTTAACAAAATGTTTATTTTGCAGGCAAACTATTAGAACGCCTTCCTGAACATTGGGAAGATATGAAAGGAAGCCATGTCAAATTGGTTCCACTACAGCCTACAGCAGGAGAATATAAGGATGTTGAAAAAAAATTCCGGATTGGCTGCCCTAAATTCACAATTGAAAAGGTGACATTTGATCTGAGTTTAAGGAAGCAAATAAACCCAACACACTTTCCTTCTCCTAGTTTCCCTACAACAACAATCCTGTGAGATGGGTTTTTGCTCAGAGAGAGTGACTGGCCCAAAGTCAGCTAGCTGAAAAGGGCCACTTTTGCGTTCCGCAACTTTATAACCCATAGAACACCAGTGGGTTTCTGTTTTGAGTTCTTGAGTGATGTTGAGCATCAGTGATTGGCTGCAAGATTGGCTCAAGAGTTGGTAATACCTTCTCATGGGAAAAGAATTAAGTAGAATAATGTGTAATATCCTGACAGTGAGAATATTCAGATACACCCTATATCTATATCACTGGAGTGCAAAAGAGAGGAAGGAGAAAAGAGCTAGAATAGGTAGGAAATATATCACTGAGTTGAAGACAATGTCCATACTCCTTCACAGTTTTACAATCTAAAAAATAAAGCCTTTAATCTGGAGGTTAGGTAGTAACAATAACAATAACACTTATACCACTCCATGGTGCTTTACAGCACTCTCTGAGCAATTTACAATGTCAGCATATTACCCCCAACATCTGGGTCCTCATTTTACTAACCTTTGAAGGAGGGAAGGCTGAGTCAACCTTGATCCCATCAGGATCGAACTCAAGGCTGTGGGCAGAGTTAGCCTGCATTATTGCACTTCAACCACTGCACCACCGGGCCTCCTTAGTTTGGAGTTTGTGTTACATTAGACTGTTGACCTCCCCTCCATGGCCTCCATGGTTCTTAGTCTGCTACATCTTACCTATGAACTGGGTCATAATGCTTAGCAGCCCTTGCTGACACATTCTTTCTCCACTATCAAATGTCTTCTGATCATAAAGTACACCAATATTGACCAATTGATACTGGTGCTGCTGTCTTAGTAATTTCATCTTCTGTACTTCCAAATGGTGGGTGTAATAAACTTAGTTCTACAGTGGTTGATTTTGCATACATTTGGCCCATTTTGAGTTTAGCAATAGTAAAAGTATTCCAAAGGGAATATGATTTTCTGACTCTTGCTGCTCTAACGTTCATGAGGAGCACTTTCTGAAGTTCATAAGCAGATAAGGTAGCAGTGATGTCACTGGCCTTTCCATAATCCAAAATAAGACATCAAACAAATTGCATTTACAGGCAGTCCTCCATTTACAACAATTGAGCCCAAAATTTATATTGCTGACCGAAACATTTGTTAAGTGAGTTTTGCCCCATGTTACGACCTTTCTTGCCACAGTTATTAAGTGAATCACTGCAGTTGTTAAATTAGTAACATGGTTGTTAAGTGAATCTGGCGTCCCCATTCACTTTGCTTATAAGGTTGCAAAAGTTGATCACATGAGCCCAGGACACTGGAACCGTCATAAATATGAATCAGTTGCGAAGCACCTGAATGTTGATCTTGTGATCATGGGGATGCTGAAATCATCGTAAGTGTGAAAAATGATCATGTCACTTTTTTCAGTGCAGTTGTAACTTTGAATGGTCACTAAATGAACTGTTGTAAGTTGAGGACTACCTGTATTTCACCTGCAGTGAACGTCTGAAGATATTAGACATACAGCTTGTGAATATTTGAATGACTTTTATAGATATATGGTTGTTTTTGTACAAGCTTTTTTAATATTAACAGAGTACAGCAGTGATATGGGCAGTAATATAAAATTAATAAATAATAAAAATAAATATGGTCCCATACTTCTTGAATAAAGGCAATGCAGGAGACAATGGGACCTTTGTAGTAACATGTAAGAGACTCTCCTTGCCAATTCTCCATTGCAACCTTTTTTCTCAGACTGTTTATTTCTAATCTCAGCATAGTCACCAAGGGAGAATGATAAAACTCACGGGAGATGAATATAGATATTGTACGATAGAGAATGATACTTGTAAATGAATAATAACAATTTACATTTGCAATCTTTGTAGATTGAAAGGGTACAGAATCCTTACCTCTGGCAAGCCTATCAAGTCAAGAAAAAGCAAATAGATACACAAAATGGCCATGAAAATAACGAGGAGATCCTTTTCCATGGGACTCCTAGTTCCACACTGGTGCCAATTTACCAGACTGGCTTTAACCGCAGTTATGCTGGAAAGAATGGTAAGATCATTTCAAGCAGATATAAGGGAATGACATAAAGCACTATATTTCAAAAATGTATAAAGATCTTTAAAAAGCAGCCTAATAGCATCCCCTTCCTTGCCCTTCCCTTCCTTGCCCTTCCCTTCCCTTCCCTAGAGGCAGTTTATAAGGTTTAGTGAAGAATGTGGCTTGTTTTTGTTTTTGTTTAATTCCTGGCTAGATTACTTTATAATCCATCACTCAAAGATGAAGTACTAATATTGGTGCTTTCCACTTTTTTTTTCACTATCTTTTAATGTTTTAAAACCTTTTTTTCTTGGTTTCAGCTGCAGCGATTGGTAATGGGACCTACTTTGCTATCAACTCAAACTATTCTGCGCAGGACACATATTCCACTCCAGACCACAATGGCAGAAAATATGTGTATGTTGCCCGTGTTCTTACCGGAGATTATTGCATTGGCAGACCAGGACAGATTACCCCACCATCCAAAAATAATGGTGGATTTGACTTATATGACAGTGTTACTGACAACGTGAATCAACCATCGATGTTTGTTATCTTTCATGATGCTCAGGCTTACCCAGAATATCTAATTACTTTTAGAAGATAAGTTAATAGGCAAAAGATGATTTATTTCCTTTTCCTCTCACAGTAAAAGCAATCAATTTGAATGAACCTTTTAAAAATACTTGTCACTTGAATCTCAATTCATTAATTAGTTCCTTTCTAGAACAGCAAAGAATAAAATAAGAATAAAATCCAGTAGAGATCAGAAAATGCTGTTCAAGAGAGAGAGGGTAGAACATGAAGACTTTCTGGATAGAGAATCTACCTGAAGGAAATGGTAGAACTAAGCATTCCAATCTTGTAAATACATTTAAGATATATAGATAATCCACAATTTAAGGAATATCGTATTTTTCAGAGTATGACGCCCTTCCCGCTCCTTAAAAGAGGGTGAAAATTCGAGTGCGTCTCATACTCCGAATGTAACCCCGCCCACCCACTGGTCCCCACCCTTTGGTTTCAGCCTCCCAGCAATTTACCTCCTTACAGCAAACAACCTGCTTCAGCACAGCCAGATTAGCACAAGCAGCTGATTGTCAGTTGAATTGGCCTCCTGACCCTCACCTGTTTCAGGCTGCAGCGATTGCCTGTTGCCGCTGTTTGTTGCAAGGAGGCAAATTGCTGGGAGGCAGAGGCTGATTTTTTTTTCTTGTTTTCCTCTCCCAAAAAGGTAAGCGCGTCTTATAGTCCGGAGCATCTTGTACTCTGAAAAATACAGTAGTTTGAAGTCTACTTAACTCACACTGATCAGATTTTCAAACTGTCCCTTTCAGTATTTTCTCTTACTTTTTTTTTTCTGGTGGGTCTACCCATTCGTCTGAATTCTGCACTTTGCTATGTCACTTTCCCTATCCTCCACCAATGTATCTGTATTTTCTAAGTGCATTTGGCACCTATTTCTGCATGCTCAAAAACTGAATTTCCCTCTGGTTACAAGCAAGTTATGAACAAGAATTTTTAAAATTATTTCTGGAAAAATGGTTAGCAACACCAATCAATCAAATATGCCTATTATTTTTTGACAAGGTAGTAAGAAACCAACACTCAGTAACTCTAACAGAGTTGGAAAGGACCTTGGAGGTCATCTAGTCCAACCCCCTGCTCACGCAGGAGAAAACCTGGGAGTAGTTTCCATCTCATACTTAATCTAAGTTCTTTTATGGTATGCAGAAGAGAACAGCTTGTGAGAAATTTTACTATCAAATGGTGTTAAAATAAGTGGTGTGCTTTATGACATTGTATCACACTAAAAACCTCACAGCCAGAAATTGGTTATTTCAGTTATAGAAAGCTGGTGGCTTTTTTGAAAGGACTTGGAGCTCACAAAGTAGCCATAGAATTTTAGTTGTTTTCAGACATTGCTGGAAAGAGCCACATCTACCTGATGAACTTCACAAGTCAGAAAGTAGTAGCCAGTTTCCCAACTCCAGAGGAGCTGCCACCTCTGGTTGATTTTCCTCACCTCCATTTAGAAATATAACAATGTCTATCTCATCCTGTCAGATGATGCCACATCTTTATTAACTAGGATTATCTTGTCCTATATACTAAAGTGCCTGAATTTATAATCTTTTTAAGAATTACCTCTTGTCATTTAGTCTAATAAACTTTTTCTAGAAAAAAATGTGTGTTTGATTTTTATGGTTATTCTTGGGCTACATAAGGGACAGCTTTAGGGGCGATTTTAGGGTTTAAACCAGAGTTCAGTTCGGATAGTCTACCAGATTTTTCATTTCCTCAATTGGCCATGCTGATGAGAATTGGAATTCATTGGAGTACCATCAGTGGGTTTCGGAAAGCTTGTAACTTTATAGAAAACGTGAATTTGTTTCATCTTGCACTTGTGCCAACAATTCTTTCGTATGTAGTATGTGTGAATATGGGATTATCCTCCCCTTTTCTAATCTGATTAGGACACAACAAAGATGATTTTCCTGAAATCATGTAGTTTAAGCAGAGAAAAGAATACCTACACCAAATTGCCATGCAGGTCCTAAATTCCTTATTAAAAATTAGCCTTGAAGTGCCAAATACAGGCAATCCTTGAGTTATGACCACAACTTAGACCAGAATTTCTATCGTTAAGCAAGGCACCTGTTAAGGAATCATGCTTGATTTTACAACCTGTTTTGCCATTGTCATTAAGCGAATGCAGTAGTTAAATGATTCATGATTGTTAAGTGAATCTCTGGTTTCTCCAATAGACTTTGTCAGAAGCTGGCTGGGAAGGTTGCAAATAGCACTCACATGACCCTAGTACTCTGCAGCGCTGCAAACACCTAAATTTTGATCATTTGACCAAATAGGGGATGCTAGGGTGGTTGTGAGACAACTGGTCATCACTTTTTTTCAGTGCCACTTAAGCTTGAATGGTCATTAAACGAGTGGTTGTAAGTTGAGGACTATCTGTACTGTACAGTTCATGGTCAAAACTAGGCATGTTTTCTCTATATAAATCATTGCAGAGAGAAATCAAAAGTCTGAAAGTTGGAGGAGGAGAGTGGTGTAGTGGTTAAAGTGCTAAACAAAGTTGGCAGGCTCGGGTTCAAACCCACTGATGCTGGAGAACTCTGGATGTCCCTTAATCCGAGCTACTCCACAGGACGATGGTTGTAAGAATAAAAGTCATATTTTGCTCATGGAGAAAGAAGGGCTGCGATTCCGATTTGTACATAACAGTCTCTCTTGAACTAGAACAAATCACTCAACGCACAACCAGGATTAAGATTTTTATTGTTCCTTGGTTATATTTCACAATAGGCCATGGAACATACACACTGGCTGAAACCAATTGAGCCATATACCACATCATTGCCTCAAACTGAAAATCAACTATTATTTCGAGTCATTGTTCTCTGGAAAAAAAAGCCTGCCTAACCTAACCAAAAAAAAAAGTATTTTCTTCCAAGTAGAGGAAGGGAATTGCATTAGGAAATGCCTCTGAAAGCAACAGGAGCTTATATGTGAGAACACTGAGTAAATAGTTTTAGAAAACACTAGTAATTTTACATGAAATTGATTTTAATGGTTTATGATTCAAATATTAATTCATTTTCTCTCAGGTCCACTCTATTTTGAAATGGTTTCTGGGTGGGGGAAGAGAGTGTGTATGAGTGTATGTGTGTGAGAGATCCAAAATTGGTTGCAGCTGCAGTTGGCAACTTTAAATTGACAAAGTAGGGAAGCAAGGCATTGAGTAAGATTTTCACTGCCCTGACTGTACTCTTCTTCAGGGGAGGAGAGAGAGAGGCAGGGCACAAATAATGCCAAGCTTTTCAGCCACTGTCCTATGGCTGAACCTATAATTTTACCATATTATAGGTACTCTATTGTCATCCAGTCTGCTAAAATGTAAGACTACACAGCAGCTCTCTTAATTTTGAAGCTTCACAACATGGCAAGAGTACCAACCCAGACTTAAAAAATGAAATTACAAGTTGAAATGCAAAACAATATCAAATGTAATCATAGAGATTAATAATCCATGCATATAGTCATATCTAAGCTTGACATTAACACAATTGCAACGAACACATTAATGGAGTTTATTTCTATGTAATATTTTTGGATTGCAGCTTTGATCAAAACTATTAACAATTCTGAATACAACTGAATACAACTGTATAATTCTGAACACAACGGCATTAATTTAACAATTGTTCTGAAATCCTAGAAGGTAAATACTGCCAAAGCTATTTTTTATTAATCCTTCTCTACTAAACTAAAATGATATATATGTAGACAAGCTAGAAGTTCTGGACTGTTCCCAGAAGTAAAAATACTCATTCAATTCCTTTTGCCTTCAGCTCTTCTCTAACACGTTTCAGATAATTAGGATCAGGGTAACCAAAACTAGAAAGGAGATGAAGAGATTTGCTTTAATCAAGGAAGCACTAAACACAAATGCTTAATAATACTATCCAATGCTGAATTGAAGTATTTTAAATATATACTTAATTAGCAAATACATAAAATAATTTAACAGTTTAAATTATACTTGAGAAAAAAATAATTTCACTGATGTATGAATAAGGAACAAGTTGATATACGTAATAATGCTGTTACAAAGATCTAATAGAAGAGAAAATTGGTAGCTCAGAGTTGAATTGTGGGGTTCTTGATGCTGAGTTTGGTTATTTTCTTGCAGATGTTTGCAAAAAAACAACCAAGTTCAGAGAGCACCAAGGGCCCTACAACACAAAGATCTTCCTGATGTTTACAGTTCCACTGAAAATAATTTATAACTCCTTAAGAAACTCACATTATAAAGTGTACCTGGTGAACTTTAATGATTGTTTTAAGATTGCTTTTTTATATTTTGCTGATAAAGAAAAATATAGGTACCCCCAACACGAGTGACATCGAGCTGGCCACACCCACCCCGGCCCCATGAGAGGCCCTGATGCAGCCCTCAATAAAATAAGAGTTTTGACATCCCTGCTCTAACCTAATATTGGTTGAAACACCCATAGGGAGCTTGGATTTTTTAAGGAAGTTAAAACACATGGAGGGAAAGCACTCCCATCTTCTTCCAGGCCTTTTGCCTACATGCACTTCTCATTCCCAGATCCCACCCCCTCTTTCAGACAATGTGGGATAGGAAAAGAAGATTTGTTCTGAGGAAGAGAACTTCATTCAGAATTCCCTGCTCTTCATCAAAACCTACCCCAGTCCATTCAAAACATATTTGGAACACTTTAAAGGGGTGTGTGTGGGGGGGGAACCAGTGAGATATTCCTGCTAAGATTGAATGGGAAGATTGATTGTCACAGAGTCCCCTCAGAGCAAGCTGAGAAATTCTAGGAGCTGAAGTCCACAAGTCTTAAAAGTTGCCCAGTTTGGAGACTCTTGTATTAGATCAACCATTTCTAGCATACGCTGAATTACAAAGCTCATGTTCCCAGAACATGGGCATTGTAATCCCATTTACCTAAAAGGCACCCAACAGGAAACAATTGTTTTATCAACACTTGACGAGTTCCAGAATAATCAAAATTGCATGCAAAATGATATCAAGGGAAATCTATTATTCTTTATCTGAAAAAAAAAATAACAAAAATTTGAACTTACTTTTTTTCTCCTCCATGAGGGGAAGTTTTGTGATGAATGTCATTCCAAGTAACCACGTCATTCGCACCTGTTGTTCGCGACTGGCCCACTGTGAAAATCAAACCTTGGTCAAAGGCCCGTTCCAGCAATTTCAGAATTTCTCTTCCTTCTTGGTTGTCAGGCAAGTATGCTGTGCGGGACGTTCCATAAAAATGTTTCCCTGGGTGAGGATGCCTTTCCTGGTTTGGAAAGAGTCAGAAATATTAGACATATTCCATTTATTTCAGATTTAATTGTAAGAGGTTAACCGTTGTGTAGCTATTCTGATCGGAAGTTGAAAAGGTGCAGCAGAAGGGACAGGGACATATGTGTTGTACTGTTACCGCATTCTTAAAAAAGCAGTAGCTCTCTCTGCCAATGACAGGGTAGAACTGCAACCCTGGGAACCCCTGTGCTTGAATTACATCAGAGGTCTTCAAACCTGGCAGCTTTGTGGACTTCAACTCCTAGAATTGGCTGGAGAATTCTGGGAGTTGGAAGTCCACAAGTCTTAAAGCTGCCAAGTTTGGGGACCCCTGAATTACATAAATAGTAAGAAGGCACCATAATCTTGGTGCATGCTGTCATCCTCTTCTTGAATTGAATACGTTATTTTCCTGGAGCTGAAAGCTTTCTGTTAATCTAGGACAGTGAATCTAGGAAATGCATGTCAAAGGTAACATGCCATGACATCTTGGGGGAACATGCCAGCATTCACTAACTCCCGACAATAACTACAGTGGTACCTTGCTACTTAACTGCTTTGAAACTCATTGAATTTGGTACTCAACACATTTTGATACAAAAATTTCATCCTGGTATTCATCATTTGCTTGGTACTCAATGCACAAGCTAGAACTTATCAATGTTGGCTTGCCTTGTGAATCACCTTGTGATTTTTCCTTATGGGAAAAATCTGTTTGGTACTCATCATTTTTAATACTCATTGTGCCTCCTGGAACCAATTAACACAGAGTATTGTACCACTGTACCTTGGTACCCATTGTTAATTCTCAAAGTCGTGCCCTGTTCTCTTGTGATTCTTGAAGGTTGTGGAGGCCATGCGAAAAAAGGGGTGTGTTCTCAAGCAGCCTCCAGACCTTGCAGAAAGCAAACATCTGGGCCACGCTATTATGTGGCCTCAGAGCCTCCCAAAATTAGCTGAGAAGAGAGCAAGCTTCCACTGAGGCTGTAGACGCCGTGGTATGCATGCCATTCTAGCCTCTGCATAGATGTTTAGAAGACTTCTAAAGATTTCTACATCTCTTGCTTTTACACTCCTAGCTGAATTGGTATTACATTATTTCCTTGTAATGTAAATATATTTTTAAAAAGCCTGAAACACAAGAGGGAGACTAATTATGGCACAGAAACATCATACTGTTGCTCCAACTTACTGTCTGAATCCCGTCAAATATACGGTAAATAATAGTGATGGTTCCAGAATTCTTATGACCAGGCAGGGAAGTGCTAGTTTTGTAGACGTCCATTTTCCCTGGGGGTTGATTTCCTTTTATATTTCCATAGAAAACATTGCACATAGGGCAGACCGGTTTGTAATTCATTGCCGTTCTTATGCAGGCTGCACAAAATGCGTGCTTGCATTTGGGCAGCACTTCTTTCTGTTGGATTGTATTCAGGCAGATGGGACACTCCTCTGGTTGGTCTTCCGTTGCCTTCCTTATTGGCGGTTCCTGAGAAGGGACCTGCTGCATTTTGTGATATCTTTGTGACTCAAAGGATGCGCTTGTGGCAGCCCCAACACCGGAATCAGGAATGGCTGTTGATTCACTATTTACAGCTACAAATTTCTCACTATTCAGGGACTTTATGGCCACCTGTGTTTGTTCTGTGGAATAATTTCCTTTTAGCTTCCCATAGACTTGGTTGCACACAGGGCAGACTGGGTTGTAATTCATTGCCGTTCTTATGCAGGCTACACAAAATGCATGCTTGCATTTGGGCAGCACTTCTTTCTGGTGGATTGTATTCAGGCAGATGGGACAGCACTTCTCTTGTTGGACTTCCATTGCCTTCTCTGCTGGCTGCTCCTGAGAAGGAACCTGCTGCATTTTGTCATGTCTTTGTGACTCAAAGGAGGTGCCTATGGCAGCTCCAACACTGTAATCAGGAATGGCCGTTGCTTCACTATTTACAGCTACAAATTCTTCACTATTCAGTCTCTCCATGATGTGCTTTTCAGCAAACAATATGTTTTCAGGAAGACCGTAAATGTAAAGGCAGTTTTCCTTTAGAGACAGTTTTACTTTGGGATATTTATATTGGAAATATGTAAATAAATCCTTCAGTTTTCTTTTCCAATCTTCCAGAGGTTTCAAAGGAATTTCTTTTATTTGTGAACTGTTTAAATAATTCAGGTACTCATACTGAAAAAACTCAGAAGCTTCTGAAGATCGATCTAAACGTGTATACGTCTGGGGCATAAAAATGATGCGTGTTAAGTGACCATCTTGACAATGTTTCTCCTCCATTCTAGTACAACACTCGTTGTTTATTAATTCAATTTTCCGATTTAACATTGGTTTGAGAAATGCAAATACAGCAGCCTCAACTTCAATGCCAGATGGCTGTATGCGGGGATCATTTTTTTTATTCCAGTTCTTTGCTGTCATTTCGTCTAACAATGCCTTTGCATCTGAAACTTCCTTTGTGGGGCCTTGAAGAACAGCTTTGTCCTTGTATTTTTTAATAATAATGTGTTTGCATTTGCTTTTTATCATCTCATATGTGTGGCTCTCAATGAAAGGAACTGTTTCCTGTTTTAGATCTCCTGCTACTTTCTGGAAAAGCTGGACAAACTCCTCCTGAGCTTTCTTGGTAAAGTCTGGTACCCCCACTGAAGAAAACCAGACAGAAGTAATTCCATTCTCAGTGTTGCCTGTTACCAATTTTACATTGAATGTCTCCTCATTTTTTTTAATTTCTTCCTTGTAGACTTGTCCAAAATATTCAAAGATACCTGAAGGAACTTCCATCTTGGGCAGTTCTTCTAAATCACTCCTGTATCTTCTGTTGTGATCTTCCTTTCCTTCAACACAATTGTCCTGCTTTTTAGGTTGCAAAAATTCACTGTCGCGATGGTCTCTAAGGAGCTTCTCAAAATGAGAGTGTAACTTTTCAATATCCTCATAGTGTCCCACCACTTTTTCAATACCAAGACGACTTGACGCAATTTCTATCTTTAAGGTGGGATATAAAGCGATCACCTGATTTCTCTGCTCTTTAGTGAGCAAGTCAGTATTCAAGGTGGCAGAAACCTCAAGAAATATCTAAAAATAAATAGAGAGGAGGAGTACACAAAGAAATGTGAGCCACTACAATAAAAATTATACACCAGATTTAACATACAAGGTTCATTTTCTACAGCGAAGAATTTCACAGTGAGATAGCACCTTCCTACTTCAGTCATTTTCTGGTATCAATCTATTCCTTCTAATAAACAAGGTTTTCCAGCATGGCAAATATACTCTCCTACACTTTGGCTTTTAAGGAGGCCTAAATGTTTATAAATATTGCAAATTAGCAGATATATAAAAAGGAGGAAGTCAGGAACTTTATAGTTTTTATAAAAACTATTTTAAAAGAAAAGCTTTAAAAACTTTTTGCTATTTTGAATTTCTTAAAACTTTTTTGTTCATCTGTATTTTCTTCTATCAACATGTATAAACACATAGATGTGCACATGCACACATACACTTGTACCAAATAACAATATCTAACAAATAACAACTCTGGGGCTTGATTTTGCTAATTGGTAAAATGGAAGTGTCATTATTATGTAAAATTAATTTATGGTACATACAATGTCTCACTACATGGGGCTCCCCTTGAGGAGCACCCGGAGGCTCCAACTGGTGCAGAGTGCGGCTGCGCGGGTGGTTATGGGAGCAACGTGGTGCTCCCATGTTACACCTCTCCTGCGTGAGCTGCACTGGCTCCTGGTGGTCTTCCGGGTGCGCTTCAAGGTCTTGGTTACCACCTTTAGAGTGCTCCATGGCTTAGGACCCGGGTACTTACAGGACCACCTGCTGCTACCAGTAGCTTCTCACCAGCCAGTACACTCATAGAGAGGGGCTCCTCAGGGTGCCGTCGGCCAAACAGTGTCGACTGGCGGCCCCCAGGGGAGAACCTACCCTGTGGGGACACCTGCTATCTGGAATGAGCTCCCTCCGGAGATACGGAGGCTCCCAGATTTACACACCTTCCGCTGTGCCCTCAAGACCTTTTTATTTCAACAGGCTGGCCTGGCCTAACTTCCCTTTTTAATTGTAAATTTAAAATCTGTTTTAAAATTTTAGGGGTATTTTAATCTGTTCCGGGCCAAACGATTTAATTGGGTTTTATACTGTCTTTTCAATTTTGTAGTCTGTATGTTTTTCTCTTTGGCTGTTCACCGCCCTGAGTCCTTCGGGAGTAGGGCGGTATATAAATCTAATAAAATGAAAATGAAAAAATGAAATAAAATGTCTCACAACATTGAAGATTCAGGATTTTCTATGGTCACATGTAATATGGAGACAGTTGGGAGCTAACATAAGCATTCTAAGTTAAGTAGAAATGTACCTTTTTTCTACCACTTTCATAACCAGCTGCATAGATTTCCCCTTGCTTGTTTTTAAAATCATTCTGGAGGGGCAAAAAGTTTGAAGAAAGTGAAGTTGGAACTGAGCTTATTGCGTTGCTTGTAAACACTGTTCCTGCAGCATCAACCATAGCCAACTCCGAATCTGGAAGAATTTTTATCTTCAAAGTTTCCCCCCCAACTTCTATAGTATGTCCACGATGGGCCTTCACACGCTTCTTCACTATATCACGTTAAGAAAAAAAATAGAATGATTAAAATACGTATTTGTCTTGCTTATATTTTTAGTTATTATACCATAATGGGATGCCCACATCACACAAAGCCCCTCTTTGAGGGAGATGGACAGTTCAGAAATATAAATAAACAATAATAAATTGTTCAGTTAGTATTAGCATATTGTAACAATTCAATCACAGAGATACACAATGTATAGAAATGTTATAGAAATATAGCAGTTTATAGAAATCTAATTTGCATGTCTAAAGCATACTGCTCCTCAGGGCCCAGAAATGCTGAAACAATGTCCTACATGATTCATATTGAGGACAGGTTTAGAAACCTATATAAGGTGAAATTCAACTTACCTTGGTAATGGAATCATGTATATAACAACTTGGCCAGGCATCTTGGAATTTCCTATAAACCCAATTTTGAAATTTTGTAATAAAAGCGGAGAACATTGTTCTCTCTCCATCCTGATGATTTCAGGGCCCCCATTGAATAAGTCCCTGCCTCTATGACCACTGCAGGAATTGGTCATGGAGGCAGAAGATAAATAGACCACTACAATCTTCCCTAAGCTGAAGATTCTTCACTTCAAGACTCAGAATTCTCAGCAGCAACCATGCTGGCTGGGAATTTGATAAGTCCATGAATTTGGAGAGGAGCTTGGCTGATTATACCAACTTCTCTACCATAAATGCACTTGGATGATGGATTTATTACTAGTCATTGGGAAGTTAGTTGCTTTCCATAGTTTTCTCATTCTCCCAGGACTAGCATGAAAATGCAAGCAACTTTCCCCGAATAATAAATATATATTGAAATTTGCAGCAATCATAAGGCAACATCACATAAAAGTTTTTGTAATTCCTACCACGTTGTAAATCTCAATCTAATCGAAGAATCTTAGAAATTCCTAATACAATTAGTTTCCATTTCCATGTCCCCCCCATGGGGGGGGAACATAAGATAGTTTAAGCTTGATTGGTGATCAGCATCTACAATCTCCTTCAAATGTTTTTTTTTTTTTACTTGTTTGGGACCTCGCCAAATTTTTCCCTTAGCTCAATGCTTCCCAAAGTTAGACGCTTCCAGAGTGGCCTCCCAAAGTTTGTCAGGCAGCATGGCCATTTTTGAGAAGTTTGGGAGTTGACATCCAAATCTTTGGAAGTTGCCAGAGTTGAGAAATATGACTAGTTCAGTGATTTCTTCTTAAGAAAGAAATTCCCTAGTCTGTAGCCTCTGAAAACATATTAAAGTGTGACTTTGCAAAACACACTGGCTCATGCAAATAATTCCTTCTCCTAGCAGCCATGTACTTTCAAAATTAATGCAGTTGCTTTGAAGGTCATCCCAGCTGTCTGCTTGTATCTAGGTATTCAGGAACACAGGTTTCAGCTGGGGCTGCCCTCAAGTGAGACACAATGCATGAATACACCTGTAGAAATTCCTGGAGAAAGTCTTTGAAGCAGCTGTGCTGCCATTTCCAGAGGATGTGGCTGTATTAAAGTTCCAAGGGATATTTCTCTCACAAAAAAAAACACTTTGTAAAGGGCCTTTCTCAAATGCTAGTCTTATCATATATCAGAAAGCAGCTGATTATGAAGATAATCCACTGCATAATAAGGCAAAAAGCAAATCACTACCCCCTTGACATAAGCTTTTTCATGGGAATTTGGGGAGCTGCAATCTCTAATCTTAACCTCAACTCCAATGTAAGTCAAATACACTTGCTCTAGTTGCAGGGAGGTGTCTGGGAAGAAGACAACTTAAATCAGAACTTCTTTGTACTGAAAAAAATCACACAATTTAAATCCAGGGTTGCTATTTTGGCTCTGAATGCGCAGCAGACTTCTATATCATGAATTAGCTAGAATTATATCTCAGCATGTTTTGGCTAGCCTGTAGTGTGGATTATTTTAATCACAAATTAAGGTGTGACACAATAATCAATACCTGGCAAATATCAGGGACTTGAATCAGGAGGTGGTTTTTTTTCCCCCAGGGAAGGGAAAAAATGGCGTTGCCATAACATGCTTCATGATAAAAAATCCAGAGCTGGGAGGCTGCGAAGCCTATCGAATTTCAAAAAAAACCCCACAAAGATGGACGGGCGTAATTTCTACCCGGAGATCAGTTTCCAATTTTTGAAAAAAAAAAAAAAAAAAAAGTCCCTCTCTCTCTTCCAGCCCTATTTCCCACCCAGCTGGTTGCCGACTCACATTAAAGGAAAATCAAAACTACTCTTTTGAAAAAAAGGAAGAAACAAGTTTCGGGGTAAACACAACTCTTTGCCAATATCCTTCCCGGAAAGTTGAAAGGGTTCCGGAGCTTTTTAACAGCCTGGAAACAATCTAGCAAGGGATCTGATCTAATATCCCAGCAGTAAAGTTATTTATTAGACTTCTGACGATCACGTATGCATTGGGGAAACCAGCCTTTCCCGGAGTATCATTATTGTTAGTTGAGGTTTTTTATTATTATAATGTAATAGTAATAATAATAGTAATAATAATAAAATTATAATATTATTAAGTCCTAACGGAGTTTACCCTTCCCAAACTACCGTGAAATTTATCTCCATAGCTACAATAGGTCAAAAATCCCCACTGAAGCCCATGAATCCGTCCGAATCGCTCCCTTCTCGCTCCGCAGGATACCTTCTTCCGACCAGAACCGCACCGAATAGATGCCCCGTTCGCGGTTTTCCATTCTCACGTTGCATTCGCCGCCGTCCGATTTCTTCGGGGACTGGAAATAAATCTCCAGCTTGGCCTCCAGTTTCTCTGCGAAGGTGTTGGGAGGGAAAACCTGGACAAACAGCGGAGTAACATGGCTCGCCATGGCTACGGCCATTTGCCCCCACCCGCTTTTAAAGGAAGCTTTCGCTTTCGTTTCTTTCGCAAGCGATCTGGCCCGAGAGCGGCAGAAAGGGAGAACTCCTCCCTCCTTTGCACGGCGCGACGTAATCCGGCGTAGCGCTGCGGCTCCGGCCTTTTGCGCCACCTGCTGCCTGTCCGAGAAAGAGAGAGAGAGAGAGAGAGAGAGAGAGAGAGAGAAGAAGCCCGCAGGGGGGGAGTGGGGGGGGGGGAAGGACACTGTTTCCAGTCTGAGTTTTCCGCGGAAGGTTTCTCAGAAGAGTCTCGCAGGGAAGCAGCGAGCAAGCTGCCCCCAGAGATAAGGAGAATCCAAGACCTCAGTGCCTTCCGTCCTGCCCTTAAAACCCACTTTTTCAAGTTGGTTTAAGAAGAAATTTTTAAATGTTTTAATTGGTAGTGAGTTTTAATTGGGCCAAATTTATATATCTATTAATTGTTTTTTTTAATATTTGTACTGCATGTTTTTTAATTCTGGCTGTACACCGCCCTGAGTCCTCAGGGAGAAGGGCGGTATAGAAATTCAATAATAAATAAATAAATAAAGCGAACTTTTCCCCTTCGCTTCAGTTCTCTTGCAGATCGCTCCGCTCCTTCACAAAGAGTGAAATGCGTTCTTTTTTTTTTTTTAGGCTCTCTGTGGGAAGCCTCCTTTCCCCCCCCCCCTGCCAAGAATGAAATATTTTGGGGAATATTAAAAGAAGCAGAATATTGTATTTCCCCAAAGGAGAAATGGAGAAACATGCTCCAGCCCCAATTTCTTGCATAGTAAAATAGCTTCCAGAAGAATTTTTTAGAGGTGGAGAGGCCCATTAGTCTGTTTCCCTGAAAATAAGACATCCCCTGATAATAAGCCCAATCGGGTTTTTGAGCGCATGTGCTAAACTAAGCCTCCCTCTGAAAATAAGCCCTCAAAAATATTTAAATGCAGAGCTGGAAATCAAGTAAATGGCAAGAGGAGCCCCATCTTGCTCCATGAGCTCCAAAATAATAAGACCTCCCTGAAAATAAGGCCAAGTGCTTATTTCAGGATTCATAAAAATATAAGACAGGGTCTTATTTTCGGGTAAACACGGTAGAAATCCCAGCCAATTGTTCATCAGCAAAATATTTCCAGCTCCAGGGTCATGGGATTAAGGACAGGACATGACCTTTTAGGATATAATAGGATTAATCCACCACCATTTAGCAAAAGATGCAAGCCCCTTCATTGCACAATCCCCAGAACATCCCCAGAAATCTCAAAGTCACAAAAACCTATAAAGATCCATCCGCTCATTGAACCATTTGGTCAGTTGCCCCAGTTCTGTTCATCAATAAACAGAGTCTTTCTTTCCAATTAGCCTCTATGTTATTTCCAGCGTCTTTCTCCCAGCTTGGAAATGAAACATGGATTTTCTTCCCAACACTTTGTGGCTTTTTAAGTGGGGTGTCCTACTAGGGATGGTTGTTCTTCTATACTTCTCATCTTGCTCATTTTGGACGGTTACTGCTATACAGGTAGTCCTTGACTTGCAACAGTTGGTTTAGTGACAGTTCAGAGATACAACACCACTGAAAAAAGTGGCTTGTGACTGTTTTTCACACTTGGATCCATTGCAGCATCACCATGGTTGCGTGATTTACATTTGGATGTTTTGACAACTGATTCACATTTATGACGGGTTGCGGTGTCCCAGGGTCATGTGATCACCTTTTGCAACCTTCTGATGAGCAAAGTCAGTGGGGAAGCCAGATTCACTGAACAACTGTGTGACTAACAACTGCAATGATTCACTTAACAAACGTGGCAAGAAAAATCGCAAAATGGGGCAAAGCTCACTTAACAAATTTCTCACTTAACGATAAATTTGGGGCTCTATTCTGTAAATTGAGGACTACCTGTTCTTTTGCGTCTGAGCACAGATGAGCAAAACACAATTATCTTGGCCTTAGAGCCACTTTGGTGCAGTGGTTAAAGCATTAGGCTAGAAATTGGGACTTGCTGAGATGTTCTCCCGCCTTAGGCATGAAGCCAGCTGGGTGACCTTGGGCCAGTCACCTGCTCTTAGCCCCAGGAAGAATGCAAAGGAAAACCATTCCTGAAATCTTGCTGAGAGAATGAATCGTTCAAAGACACCCAGCTAGCTTTCATGGTTAAGGCAAGACTAGAATGTATTAATTAAAATACAGGTAGTCCTCGACTTCTGACCGCAAATGAGCCCAGAATTTATGTTGCTAAGTGAGAAATTTGTTCGGTGAGTTTGGTCCCATTTTACGGCTTTTCTTGCCCCATTTGTTAAGTGAATCACTGCAGTTCTGAAATTAGTAACACGGTTGTTAAGTGAATCTGGCTTCCCCATTGACTTTGCTTGTCAGAAGATCGCAAAATTTGATTACGTGATCCCAGGACACTGCAACTTTCATAACTGTGAACCAGTTGCCAAGTATCTGAATTCAAATCACATAAACATGGGGATGCTGCAATGGTCATAAGTGTGAAAAATAGTCATAAGTCATTATTTTCAGTGCCACTGTAACTTCAGTCACTAAATGAACTGTTGTAAGTCAAGGACTACCTGTATATAGAGATTAAGAGAATTGACAGACACCCAAGTATTCCTAATTTTTTTTTCCTGCCAGGTTAGAGATCTTCAGTTGCCCAGAATTTGTTGGATTGCAATCCCCCTTATCTTTGATCAATGGCCTGGTGGGAACTGGCCCAGCATTTCTTCACCCCTGAATTAATGGTAAGAAGCAACTTGACAATGGCATGGAGTTTCTGGCAGGGATCTCCTTGGTAACTGGGCCAAAAGATTCTAAGGGAGGTGACTGGTGAGTTGAAGGCAGTTCCTAGCTCTCAACCCAGGGAAATGGAAGAAGAAAATAAGGACAACTAAGAGGCCACCAGGAAGAACAGGATCAAAATGGGGAACATGATGAAATTACTAGTAAGTGAATAGAAATAAAGGTTCAAACAGAGCTTTCCCATCTTATGATGGAAGAAGAGCCAATGGACATAGACTTGGGAAAAGGCAGGGGAAGCTTAAGCAAAATTGATGTGAAAGGACCAAACTGTGTTAAGGTGTTCCAAAATATTTTTCCCTCACTGAAAAGGCCCCATTACACATTCACATTAGATTTCTCCTTGGAATTAAATGTCCAACCAGGAAAATTGTCCCACCAGGCATTTGTGATCACTGGCATATCCAGCTCAATAACCACTTTGGGACTGTATAGCCACTGGGAGCAAAGATGGAGGATGGCAAATGATAAAACATTTCTATGTACAATTGAGTTACACGTGTTTGTTGAAGTGTGCAGTGTTTTTCACAGTGTTGCCAAAATTTATTTATTTATTTATTTATTTATTTATTTATTTATTTATTTATTTGTTCAACTTGTATGCTGCCTTTCTCCAAAGACTCAAGGTGGCTTACAATGCATTTAAAAACCATATATAAAACATTAAAAGTTAAACCATTAAAAACAATTAAAACCCATTCACACCATTCATGGCCGGATCTCTCCAGATCACAACAGCGAGATCAATGGCCCCAGGCCTGCCGGAAGAGCCAGATCTTCAATGCTTTTCGGAAGGCCAATAGGGTGGGGATGGTCCGGACCTCAAGAGGTAACTGGTTCCAGAGAGCTGGGGCAGCCACAGAGAAGGCCCTCCCCTGCGGGCGCACCAGCCGGCATTGTTTAGCTGACGGGACCCTGAGGAGACCAACTCTGTGGGATCTTACCGGTCGCTGGGAGCTATGCTTAAATGCTTAAAGAAACATGTAATCTTCTTTCAAAAGACATTCTCTCTCTCTCTCCCTCTCTCCCTCCCTCTCTCTCTCCCCTCCCCCCGCCTTGCCTTTCTAAGAGTCAGCTTGCAATTTTACTTTCTTCTCTTATTATTGGAAGATTTCACATGAGAACCTGTTCATGTCATAGCAGAAATGCTGTCAACACCACACACATGCATTTATATTCCCCTATTGCCAGTGAAGTTGAAAAACTTACATTTTCTGTATTGTGTTATAAGTCATGATGAAAGTTTTCTTCTTCATTGTGTCTCATATAAGGAACTGTTTATTACAAACAATGTTGCTAGATTTTGTCTGGTAGCAATGAAATTCAAAACAGATAATTAAGACTACTGAAAATGAACAACCTTACTTAGAATTCTTTTGTTTTTATTATTTATCTGTTTTTACACCCTTTTCTGGGCTTCAGAGTCTCCCTTTAGTTTTCAGTATTGGGAAACAATTTTTCTACACATAACTCTGTTTTAATATTATAGTATTGTGTTAGCAATGCTAACTTTTAGTTATTTTTTATCTCCTGCAAGTTTCAGTGTTCAGTGTAATACAGAAACTTGCAGGAGATAAAAATGAATGTAATTTTTTGAATGTAATTTTTTTCTGATTGTATTTTATATTGGTCTATAACAGAAATGAAGATTAGGTATAGATAGATGATAGATAGATAGATAGATAGATAGATAGATAGATAGATAGATAATAAACATAGTGATAGACAGACAGACAAAAGATCGAGATAAAAATGTATTATTTACTTATTTAATCAAATTTATATGGCCACCCATCTCAAACTAAGTGACCGTGGGTGGGAAAGAAAAGAAAAGAAAAGAGAAAAGAAGGAAGGAAGGAAGAAAGGAAGGAAGGAAGGAAGGAAGGAAGGAAGGAAGGAAGGAAGGAAGGAAGGAGGGATGATCCTGTGTACATTCTGAAAATAAATCTCATTAAATTCAGTCAGGGTTACTTATAAATAAATATGTTAATTTAGCATATGGTTTGTACAGCATAATGGATTAAAATCTTTGTCTCCTTTTAGTGTATTGTTTCAGAAGAGAAATTATTAAACTGAGGATTTGCAAATAAGGATCACATTCATAAACATTAATGTCAATGGCTCTAGTTTAGACATTAGGAGAGACTAATTCTGATTGCTTTGCTATTATTTTCACAGACTTTCAGTTCTGAGACTACTAAAAAAGCCAATGCAGGTAAATAGTCTTTGTGTCTTTTAGTAATACAATTTTCACTGAGGGTCCTTATAATTTCAGG